TCGATGCTGCTAGCGACTATTTTCCTCACACACACAAATACACCGAAACACACACGGACACACACGAATACACATGCATTTAGCGCTCGCACAGTGGGCCGCAGACGCAGAGACATTTGGGAATACTGCGCAAAAAGTGTGAAAACCCGCGAGCGTGAAATGGCTTTGAGCGCGACCTGGTTCCGCGGCCAGTCCCTAAATATGGCCATGGTCGTAAAGCAGCCTCTGCTAGGCCTGGCCAATTAAAAAGCTGAGCATATCAATTTAATATTAGGTACAAACATTATAATCGAATGGAAAACTAGAAATTTTGGAACTACACTTCAGCTGCGGACATTGCTAAGAAATCAATGGCAGGAGGCAAGGAGTTGGTTAATGGAGCTAGTGATAACAATGCCAGGTGGCTACGCGTTCATTGAGTGGTGCATCCCGCAGCAGACGCATTTGCTCCATGCCCGATTCGGTGGCACTGGCATCGCCGCCGCCGACCAGCACCGTGCCCAGCACAAGTTTCTTGCCCATTTTCAACTTGGTCGCCAGCGTAATGCGAATCACAATGTTCTCCAGCTGCTCCCGACTGCGCAATGGCACACATATGGTAGCTTCATCGCCGCCAGCTCCATCCCATTTGGTGGACAACGATGGATAGAAAATGGACGACTTCCAGGCGTCCACATAGATGCCATGTTCGAAGACCGTGGTCTTAACGTAGACGCCCGCGCTGGCCGTCGCCTCCAGTTCATCCTTGACCTTGTTGGAGCAGCGCATGCGCGCCGTGGTTACGCGGAGCATGAGTGTGCCGCCCAAGACATTCGTCACATTGCTGATGCCCATTTTGCGCTTCACCTCGGCTGTCATGCGTTGCCAGTTGTTCGCTCCGGCGGCGGCTGGCTCGTCCTTTGGCTCCGGGTGCGCTTCTTCAGGTGGTTCGTTCTCGCTCAGATCGCGCAGCTCCAGCGCCAGCTCGACAACACCTTTGGGCGCATTGGTGAGCTGTAAAACAAACGGGTCAAGGGTCAAACTGTTTATTCATGCTCCGCTTTGACTGCCGTCTGTTTATTTGTCTTGTGTTACGCAGTCTTCAAGCTTGTCGCAATTTACTTTTGGCCAACTTTCTCTAGCTCCAAATTAAATGCACATCTTAATTTCATTTTCAAGTTATGAACTTGCACTCAACACTCAACACTCGGCTTATAACATTTGGTTAAGTCACTTTGGGCCAAATGTGGCCTGTCAAGTTGTCGTCAGTTTTGTCTGTTTTGATTGCTTACGTTGTTGCCATTAGTGTTGTTGTTGTTGCTGGGCATCGTCTTGAGCACTGTGGTGGTTATATCTTTAATGGGCAGCCAGAGCTCCTCAGTCGCATAGCATCCGGTGCGAGCGTTGCGCTTGAAAAGCTTCGGCTCCAGGTAGCAGGTGACGGAGCCTGAAGAAGACACAAAACCCTTATATTAGCAGCATTTCAACATTCTTCTTGGCATACACATATGGAACAGGGAGCATCCTTTTTTCAGTATAATCAGTCAATTGCAATCCTAACCATGAAGATAAACTACATACAAATTTGCATGTGATCCCATAAAGTATCTATACCCTGATAACAGCTGGGTCGATATAGCCAACTCCTTCGGTCTGTTTCTATGTTCTGTTTCCTCTAACCTTACTCTTTATATATGACACAAATCTTTTCATAAACAGACCACTATATCATATAGCTCTATCCATCGAATAAGGTTTTCATTTGGAAAAACTTTTCTATTTTTCCAAAATATCTGGTCAAAACTCTTCATTTTTCTCCCAACAAATATAAAATCTTGAAATATTATTATTATATATTACCATATTATGTTTTCCAATACTTGCCTATATTTCTCCGGGATTCGCTTATGGTCAATGGTGGCATGGCATCCCTAGGATTCTCTGTGGTCTTTTTATTCTTCCCACTCTTTTGTGCTGACCCATTTTCAGTCTGGGTTTCACCCGCGGAAAGCCGTTGCACAAAACTCGAGCTCTTATCTTTCAGGGAGCGATACGTCTTGTTGAATCGATTGAAACTCTAAAAGACATTATTTGTTTAACCTACTTAGATATATATTAGACAAAAATGTGGACTTACTGCAGCAGGCAGCTCGAGTAAAGCATAAACGGTAAAGACCACAAATTGGCCGGCAAAAAGTTCGTCGGGCGCGGCAAAGTCGCCGGCTGTGCGGCTCTGCACCTGACGTCTGGAGGAAAAGGCGGAGCCGTGCTTTAAGGATGGTCTATTTAAAGAAGAAGAAGAAGAAGAATGTTACTTTGAGAATAATATTAGCTTAAGTTATACCTACTTAATATCGGGCACCAAGGGAAACTTGAAATTTTCATTAAACTTGGGCCAGGTGTTGGTCTGAATGCTGCTGTCCAAGCGTTTTGTGCCCGGAAACAGTTTGACCTGTTCGAAAAATATTAAATAAAATATATAAAAATGTATTTATTTAAAGATCTTTGAATTACCTTTATCAGATATCCCTGTACGATCTTGAAGCCGAACAGGGAGGGCAGATGCCGCGCCGCAATGAGATGCACATTAAGCTCGGGCATGGGAGACGAGCCGTTGGCTGCCGTAAAGCTTTGTTGATTGTCCTCCTTTTGTTCGTGCATCTCGATGGTGATCTGGAATCCGATCTCCGGCTCGAGGGTGTCCGAATGACGGGCAGAGTCTTTGCCATGTTGGCCCGGCAGCCAGGTCCGCAGCTTGTTCATGTTGATACACTTAGAGACGCTGCTCCACTGCGCCTATGCACCGCTCCGCACTGAGGTTTTTCCATACGAATGTGCGAAAGAGAAAAAGGTGATAATTTATATAAATGATTTCAGAGTTCTTATCTGCGACTCGTACTCCGGTATTGATAAAACGCCGCCACTTCGACGGCTCATGCTCAATTAGCCCACTCTCTCTCTCTCTCTCTCTCTCTCACTCCCTCTCAATTGAAACTGAAGTACACACACATACACACACAAACACATATGTACATACATAGTTCCAGTGCGCTTTCCACTTAGCGCAAGCCAGTTAAAAGCTACGTCTGGTTAAGCTCACTTACAAACAGCTGTTTGGCGCAAAGCTTTCGCCTCGCTCCAAATGCTTGCAGCCCGATTGCGCTCTCTTAGAGTACGCTGAGAACAGCCGCTAGTGGCGTGTTAGTGCCCAGTAGCGAATTCGCTGAGCACTTGCAGTTAGCAGGTTGCTGAGCTTACATACGAACTCATCTGCACACATGCATTCTGATAATAAATATATTGACAAACGAGTAAATTATGCATGCATATGAATATAATCTTAATAATCTGAGCTGATTGTCAGTGGCTGCTTTTGGCCACAAAGTCTTTGACCCCATAAAATAAGTACAGGCACAGCTGATGACTAACAAGCCAAATATTGCGCATACTCCCCGTATGCCGGCTGAGCGCAGCGCGCGTGGCCCTTGTCGCACTTACACTTTATCGATACGAATACTAATGCAAACACAATGTGGCCGCGTGAAAGTCATGAACTGTGTCAAAGAGTTCTTCGCAGTTCCACGAAGACCTCGTTTTGTTTCTAAAGTCTGTCTATGTTCTACAATTGCTCAATGCCGGGCAGCTGATGTCGACATGTGCAAGCCCGGGCCGCAAAGCGAAACATTTAGCACGGTCACAAAGCGCAACAATTAACAACTCGAGATGAGACTGCGCCACGATCAACGATCAGCGATCCACGATTAACACTCCACGCTCCACGCTCGACGCTCGCGTTCTCCAGCTGATCCAACGCTCAACTGAAATGTAAACTTGGAAATTATTTCGTATGCGGTCATAATAATAAAGCGTATACAATCATAATGCCGACACATATTCTCGCCAGCCTGTACACACAGAAGAAGTACATTCACATACACACACACATGAACATAAACAAGCACACACACACACACACACATATATGAACTTTACGCTTTCGTACCTCGAGCTTTGATTGTCGTCGCTTTCTTGCTCAAAAATGCAATAAGATTCTCTCAGCGACGTCGACGTCGACGTCGGCGTCGTTGTTGTCGTCTTTGTCTGTGTCACCGTTATCGCGTTGCAACAACAATTATGGGCACAATAAAAGTTCTCAGCGCTTGTGATTATACGACTCTCTAATACGCTACCACGTTATGACTTGGCAGATTTTCAAAACTTCTTAACTCAATTCTAATTGGAATCAATGAAAATTATTAGTGGAATGCACATATTACTTCCTTTAAAATATGCAATAATTTCCCCAAACTTATGCTTAACTTTTGCAGTTATCAAGCCATTAAGACTTATTAACTATTTTTGATAACTAAATTTACAATTTAGAATAAATTGAATTTAAATGATTGAAATTTAATTTTCATTTGATTTACGCCACAAAATAGGTTTAACCGCCCTTAAAAATATCAAAATAATTTCCCAGATTTAGAATTTTGTTTTATAGTTTCTAGCAACAATTTTGAAGACAAGCGAACGATTTCCCAAAAACAATTTTCATGTTTAACATTTTTCTGTCTAAAAACCTTGAAAAAAAAAACTGAAAAAATATTAATTTGTAAAGCTCAAAGTGTCATAACTCGGGCGAAACCTAACCGATTTCTATGATTGATCACTTTTTGCACATGATTTGTTTTAAACGTAAAGCATCGAAAATTTATAAACTTTTGAGTAAACATTTCGATGTATTACTACAAGGGAGTTGTCAAAATTAAAACAAGTTTCAAGTTTGATGGCATTTCGGTCACGATTTCTGCTATATATATATTAAAATTGTTTTCATTTATTTACCAATGCTATTAGCGCTCCGAATATGTATAGAAAATGTTTATATTTGCATTTGTTAATAAAATGTTCTTGGAATACAAACTTGAGTACATACCTCTGTTAAGTCTGGAATCTGAAAGAAACACGAGGTCTCTATTAAGAATGCATGAAGAGAAAGAAAGCAAACAAAACGCGGAACATTTGAACAAGAATGTATATAGTATATATATATATATATATATATTTAAATAGCATACATGCAACCGCACATGGGTCTGCATGGATGGGATGTAGAGCTAGAACAACTTCAACTACAACTTCAGTTTCCGGTACCTGTATCCGTGCCAAATTAGATGTTGCAGCCCGGGCCGTCGAATAATTGTAGATTTTTATAATTTAAGGTTTAGGGCTGACAATTTGTGTGTGTGTGTTTGTTTGTGTTTGTTTGTTTGTTTGTTGTCAATTGTCTCAATGGTATTCTGACCTAGCCTAGCTTAGCCTAAAGCCCGAGCGTACACCTAGTCCACCTCCAGTTTCCTAAAGCTGCCCACAATGCCGGCATCGATGTCGCCAATGTCATTGCCCGCAAACTTGGCCGCCTCCTTGGTGATCTCGATGTGCATGTCGTCCAGGGCGAGTATTGCGGCGCGGCGCTGCTGCAGCTTGGCCTTGAACTCCCGGATCATTTCGGCAATGGGCATGGTGCCGCCGTACTCCTTGGGCAGAATGGCGGGATCGATTTTCGACTTTAGACCATCCACGTTCTTGTGCACCTGTATTGAAGGAGAGGCTGAAGTTAACACCATTTTTAAAGGTAGTCCTGGGAGGATTCGCTTACAATGATGCGCTTCTTGAGCTTGTCGCTGAGCATGGAGACGCCCAGCTCAATGATGCGGTTGGCATAGTGGGGTATATTCACAAAGTGCGTCTCCTTGTGGCGCATGGGCGTCGAGTTCTGAATGCATTTCATAATGCTACGCAGATCGGTGAGCGACCAGAGGCTGACGAAGCCCATGTTCATGCCGCTCTCGTCGTTCACGTAGACATAGCCGGACACCTGAGAGTCCTCGTCGTCCAGCAGCGATTCACAGATCAGGCTATGCACGCGCGCCATCTGCACCGAGGTGAACTTGTAGGGATCAAACTTGCCGGCCACCGAGAAGATCACCTGACGCCCGCTGGCATCGCGTTGCGGCAACGGCACCAGGTAGCCTGCCTCGAATATCTCATCGATGGCCGGATCATTGATGTCCAAATGCTGGAACCACTGCGGGAACAACTGGCGTATGGTCAAATAGCGCTCGAGCATCTCGCAGGCGGCGGGCACCGAGAACTTCTTGGTGCGCAGAAAGCGCAGCAGGAATATGGCATCCGTGCGGCACTTCTTGATGTGCGGATGCTTGGCAATCCATTCGCGGAACTGGGCCAACGCCTGCCGCCGTATATTGTCGTCCTCGTGCAGCTCGTCCTTGGCCAGCAGCTTCATGTCCGCGCTCAGCGAGCACACATACGGATCGTAGTCCTTGTCACTGGACGCCGGGCCATCCAGCTTGGGTTGTTGCCGCACCTCAGTTTCCAGCACTGCAAGCCAAAGCATAAACGAATTCAATAAGCACACTCAACAACTCAATTAAACCCCGTTAGCCATGCTAGCCATTTAATGGGTATGCAAACACTCAAAACCATTTATTACGTATACGCAACGTGTACAGAGCACAGATTTCGGCGCAGATATTGCTAATTGTGTGGTTGGCCTTCGTCCAGTGGCTGACGCTGAGGCCAAAATGTTAACATTCATCGAACTCTGGGAGTTAACTACTGTTTGCTGACCTACATTAACCAGCACATACACACACACGCACACAGACACATTTATTTATATGTGTGATTAATGCCCACCTGCAGCCAAATTGGGCTTTTGTGCATTGTGGGCTTGGGTCATTGGCTTTGAACTTAAGTTCGTGGCAGCTGGCGTTGCGTGGGTCCAGCTGCTGGCCATTAGCCAGTGTACGAATACATATAGGCAACACTGTAAGAGTTGGCAAATTATAGCAAAAACAAAAACAACGAAATGAAGATTACAAATAGAGCTGACTGCATATTTGAATGTGGCCAAAATTGCCACAGCCAAGCGATTAGCTGCCGTTGGCCGCTTTTGTGGTCTTACCGGTCCATTGACCATGACCCAAAATAAAGGGACAGTTTGTTTTGCATATGAACAACGACTCGGGCATATCGTACGATCGCTTTTATTTAAATTTCTACACGATCAAAAAGCCCATTTAACTCGAACTCGAAGGTCAGCCGTATATTAAAATAAAGGCAGAAGATTATATCAGACGGCTGCCAACTGCTGGCAGTCACTGTCAACGCTGCTTAACGTGGCCAATTGCACTCAGATATATCTACGCCCCAAAGTGTATAATAATGGCCATATTAATTGGCTCTGCGTAGTGCGTAAAGAGAGAGAGAGAGAGAGAGAGAGAGAGAAGGAAAACACGAACCGTTTTTTGGTCAACAAACTGTTTATGAGCATAGACCGCCCATACCTATGGCCATAACAGCTGCCCGCTGGACGTAAAATCAAGTTTTATTTGTTTTTTTTTTTCACTTTCATGGCCTTCACACAGATTTCAAAGAGCGCGCTGCCAAGGGTGGGGGATAGGGGAACTGCTCAAAAATGAAATTCGTAACATGCCCTGCTTTGACCATGCCCAGCTTACAAGCCCATGTACGTGTGTGTGTGCGTGTATGCGTGTCTGTGTGGGTAATTATTGACGATTGCGTTTTTGGGTCATATGGCCATTTGCAATGGCGTGCAGGAGACAGCAGCAGGTGCAGCTGCAGCAGCAACGGCAGCAGGAGAGCGCACTTTAAGCTGTGCTTCGCGACGTGCAATTTGTGTTTTCTTTTGCTCTCTCTGTCTGCATCCGCTCTGCCAATTACCCGCTTGGTTACATCATTGCAAAAGATCTGACAAAAACCAAAAGTACAGCAAACAAAGCACCAACAATAAAAACATACATATCAGAAAAGGAGAGTGAGTGCGAGAGAGTGCCAGAGCGGAAGCAGGCGCAAAGAAAACGCTCGAAACGAGTTTGTGGCCCAAGCAAAGCTTTCGACTCCTGACTTAACAACTCACTCGAAATGTAATTCAAATCTGAAGTGCCGGATATTGATGTAAGACTCGATTATGCCGCCCACTTAACTGAAACTATTGCGCTTAAACTAATGACAAATATTTGTGACTCAATATTGAATAAAAACTAATAATTAATGTTGTTTTTTTTTTTTTATATGTGTTACAGAATCGTCCACGTGATCTTTCGGGTTACATGCGCACATCTTTAGAATGTAAGTGAATGGAGCAAAATCTAATATCATTAAGAAAAGACCAGAAAGCTCAGTAGAACGGTTAATTATGGAGTCTCGGCACGTTTAGCGGTTAGTGTAGGTGTGGACAGGTGCACGAATACAAGTGTACGAATTCGTAACACTAATTGATGAACGCAGCTCTATAAAAAAACCCCTAGAAATACGTATGTATATATAATTTGTTATATTTGGGGCTATATTCAAATGGTGTTCGCAGCGAGGTCACAATCGTGTGACCGTTAATGCAATTGCTAAATTGTGATCGCTTGTGAATATTAATGCTAAGCACATATGTGCTTCATAACTGGAGATTCACAGCGACACACACACACACACACACACACGCACGCACACTGATTGCGCATTGTAGGTACGTTTTTTATTTACTTTGTTTTTTTTATGGCATTAGCCAACTTCGGCGGACGAGACCTTGCCGCCGGGCCTTTGGCTTAACATTCAAAACTCAACGTATAACGTATTACCTACTAGCGCATAATTTTAATTAACTCGTCGTTGCCCAATACCAGATATACTACAGAATTTCAAAATAGATTTCCATAAGTTTGTGAGGCCTTGCAGAAAGTGAAACCCAAGAACTTAAATACACACACACACATGCATACACATGCACACACATGCATACACAGTAGCTGAGCTCTTGGCTCTGCTTTATCTAATGGCTAATATGCGACATCAATATGGCTATAAAGAAATCAAATTAAGACCAGTTGCTTATCGAGAAAAGCTCAGGCCTGGCGTTAAGCGGCGCTTCGGTGAAAGCGAAAGTTTTTCTTCGGCTCTAGGCAGCGACTTTAACTCGCTTTGAGTATTTTTCTCTTATTGCTGTGTAGGTGTCTTTTTTTTTTTTTTTTTTTTGATTTCCATATCCTTTCCCTATTATGTAATCGCTTAACATGAACTCACTTTTTTAAATCCGTTTTCCGTTTCTTTCTTATTTCTCTTCTTTTTTTTTTTTTTGGCTACACACTTCAATTTCACAACTCGCCAAACTTATATAAATTGGGTTTACTTGTACGACGCGTCGTTGCAATGGGCCAGGTTAACAAATTGTTGGCTATTATTTCCGCAGCCGTTTTCAAAGCCCAGCACTGCCGACGACGACGACGAACGTTGTGAACGTGGAGACGCTTTGAGCGGAACTGACTATTTTTTGGTTACTGAAAACCTATTTAAGCCGCGCTCAACGCATTTCCACTCAATTGGCTTTTGAGCGCAGCTGTCAACGCGTTGAGCCGACTCGAGTTGAGTTTGTTTTGTTTTGGTTTGGCGGCACCGTGGGCCATGCTTGCGGCCGCATTAAAAATGTCACCTCCTTTTTATATTCCAGATTTACGACTCGGTATATGGTCACGTGTAGTTGGGGCATTTAAAGGTCTTTCATCCGGCAATCATTTTAATTTCCAGCCAGAGGTCAAATTAACCATATGCCCCTACGTGCGCGAGTGCCTGCTTAAATCTAACTGGAATCTATTTACGTATGCATACATTATGTTAGGCAGCACGCACATAAAGACTATTCTAATAAGAAAGATTACTAATTATGAGTTCATTTCAACGATAATAGCATGAGCTTAAAATAGTTAAATGGCATAGTATACATATAAACATTTTATACTTACCCAAAACTTCCCATCTATGCGAACAATAAGTTTATTGTCATCTATTGTTATGTGGATGGGTGTTGGACATAAAAATCTCTGAAAAAGCATAAGCGGAAAAAAGTAAGAACAAAAAGAGAAGTCAAATAAGAAAGGAAGATAGAGTTAGAGGGGAAGGGAGTGAGAGAGAGTTTAAAGTGTACTCGATTCCTGTTTGGTAGAGGAGAATACTCTAATTAATGAGAATCGCATAGTAAGGCTGCAATCGCATTGTAAAACTCAATTAATAATAAGGAACTTACACACAGTCACAACAACACACATATAAACGGATTTGATAGACCTTCAAAATCAAGTTTACCCGATGTAATTTCAGTAAAATTGTTTTAGATGAGGAATCACAGTAAAATTGTTTTAGAGTAATAATCTAATGAGGCACATCAAAGGTCACTTCCATTAACCCTTCTTGCAACCTCTAACTCAGGGCGTTAAAATATGCATTAAAAGAGCTTTAATGTGAATTAGTAGCTCAACATGCCGAGTATTAACACTTATTTAATAAAACCAGGGACGCCGAAGTCTTCTCTTACATATTTGACTTGCAAGGGATACATACATTATGGGTATTTAGTAAAGGGGACTTTTTCGGTCTGGTAATAAGGAAATACAATGATTTTCATAATTATTTTAAATACTTCAAATAATCGCCAAATAATTGGTCAATTCAGTCGATTAGTGTCGTTTTTTTTTAAGTACAGCATAAAAACATTTTCATGCATCATTTCGGCTCTACTGGCGTAACTAATCGTTGCCACAACGAATATATCTGATCTTTAAATTTAAAATAGAACATTTCGATAAATTACTGTAGATTCAAGTGCTCCCCATTTCGTCATACGTATTCATTACGCCGATCGAACTCTCGTAATCTTTTTCAACATCAATGAATAAGTATCAATAATTGGAGCACAAGACTTTTAAATAACTATTTATAACAAAATATGAATCATAGAAAACATATCAGATTAAAATTCTGAATTCTATGGAAAACTTATTAACATTACTTTGCGATCACATTTATTAAGTTTCGTATTTGAATATTTTCTCACAATTTTACATATTACACAATTCACTTGTTTTTCAGTTTGTTTTGTCGTTTTCCATCACGAGAGTAACACAAAAAATCTCTTAAACGAATTCAATAATGTTATAAGCGAAATTGAAATAAGTATAGAGTACGATATATATAATACGTTTCAAAAGTGAACAACTTAAATTAACATAATGAATTAAATCGTCCATATGCATATGCAACATATGCAACTGCAGCATATCTAATTAGGAGTATACATCTCATATATATCTATATATCATTAAACTACAACTCTTGTGCATGTACTAGAGCGCCATGGTTAAGTTAAGTTAATATATGACATAGTATATCATTCTGAATGAAATGAAAAGTAACATGCGAGAGCTGCGCTTAATTCATATATGTCGTCCGTATAACGATAATATTGTTGCATATGCATAGGCCACATGTATGCATGTATGCATGTATGCATGTATGTATGTATGTATGTATATCCGCGGATCGATTATACAAAATTTATGTTTAAAACTAAATGAGTTTCTTTTAAAAACAATTACAGCTTTAATAAATTAGTACGTTGACATTGCGTGGGCTGGTTTCAAAACATTTCTCACAAACAGTTTAATCCTCTAAGCTGTATGAGTTTTAAACATGTGTATATGTGTAGTGTGTATATGTGAGTGAGTGTGAGTGTGTATGGGTGTGTATGTATATAATTTATATGTATATATGAAAAATATATGTTTGTATGTATGCAATATATAGTTAAACTAATCTGTAACTAGGGCTCATTTGATGAATATGTTCTCAGTTGTTTTTCGTAAAGGTTTTCTTTTGTTTGAAATTAACCGTTAGACAACATCTATAACTATAATTAACTTTCTTCTTGATGTTTATAATTTTCTCTATTTTGTATATAAATGTATGTGTATATATAATTTGACCAAATACACGCTCCATTCTTCAACTTCTTGATAATATATATATTAATTTTGGAAGATTGAGAGAGAAATTAAACAAAACAAATTTCAACGATTTTCGAAACATGGTTTCATCTAGCGCTTAAATGCCTTAACACACAAAAATAATAATCAATTTTTTTTTATAATCATAATATTAATAAACAGAACTTTTCTTTTTGATAATTTAGTTGAAATCATTTCGCGTTGTTGACTGATCGCTTCAACGAAATTGTTTTCTTCATTCTTGATGTTGGTTTTCTTTGTTTTTCTTTTTGTTATTTTTGAGTAAATTTAAGTTACGACATAATTTCATTTACTTAATTTACTAATTACTCTAATCAACGCGGCGTTCTCCTCCTTCAGGCGGTCATTGTCCGACTTGTAGGCATCAAGTTGCTGTTTTTTGTTTTTGGTTGGATGGTGCAGCAAAAGTAAAAGAAAATTAAATAAAATTAGTACAAAACTTACAAAACATAATTAATACAACTAGCGCAACAGCACATTGAATTATAGACTCTAATCAGATTGAGGGGATATACATATAAGTATATATATGTATATATATTATAAATTATATTTTGTAACAAGGAAATCATGCGGATTAGTTGGGTTGCGGCTCTCTGAAAGCAACTCAGCAGCATCAGCAACAACAAGAACAACAACAAACGATTAATTAAAACATAATCTCTAGAGAATCTCGTATCTCTGAACTGAACACGCCCTAAAAACAGACCAAAACAACATGCACAACCCACCAAGAAAAGAAACAGAAATAAATTGGTTTCAATTGCAAACACATGAACTCTGGGCCAAATACTTAAGATAAAATATATATGGTTTCTTATGACACAATGGACGATAAGCGAAATATACTCGATATATGATGCTCATTTCCTGATGCTGAATGCGAAATGTAGTACTCAGATCCACATGGATATCGAGAACAAAAAAAAAGGACAACAAACAGCTTAAAACCGAAATACAATGGGTGAACTTTTATTGGATAACTCAGATAAAACTGATATATAGATATAGATATAGGTGAGAAAAACACACAAGAGTATAAATTTGGGCCAAAAAACTTGTAACAATATTAACAACACGAGAAAACAGTTTGGCAAATATGGTACATATAGTTATAGATTGTATAGATTATACATTAAATAGATATATACAGTCAAGTGTTTCAAAAAAGTGAAGAAAATTTTATCTCTATTTTCTTTTTCTAATTCGAAGTTGATTTCAACAACTTTTACGGGCAGAAAATTAAAACATAGTTTGAAACACTTGCACATAAAACAATTATAGCTAAGTTTGCTTAAAAGATTTAGTTTTTTTTATTTTTTAATTATGCAACAACAAAACAACAGCCAGCTCATATATGATGCAGGTTCTTCGCATTTGGTGGGGAACATTTACCGTAAAGCTCACTGCATATAAGAAATAAGTTAATAGATCTGTGCTGATGATGATCTTGGTGCTCGTGCCACGACCGAATTGCTGCAATTGTTGTTGTTGTTGTTGTAGAAGTAGTGCGTGGGCAGCATAGTTGAGCATTTGGGCAAATCCTTGGGTTGCGTTGAGTTACGATTTACGATTTTTGATGTAGCTTTTGATTTTGATTAAACGTATGTATACGATACTTATGTGTGTGTATATATAGTTGCCATATGTTGTGCTATATCTTGTAACGTTATATTCTGTATTATTTCATATAACTCCAATACAATATGTGTGTATGTGTCATATATTATTTTGCTCTGGGCTAAAAGTACAGCGGTGCAAAAATAGAAATTTGCCTGCTAAGTGCTCGTTGCCCCCAAAAGTTATAAACTTAATTTAACTACAGTACATTTAATTATTGTTACACGTTGCGCTCAATATAACAATGCAAATTGTTCTTGTTGTTGTTTGTCTCATAATAATAATAATGATAATGATAATAAACAATATCGATGGTGGAAGAATCTTTAAAGTTGTTCATCAAAATGGTTTCTGAATATCTCTAGGCTAGACGATGGGTGTACGATATCTAAGAATTTAACTAGGTATGCGTGTACGTATGTAAATATATGTGTGCAGCTCGAGTATTTAAAGAAACGATAACGATTACGATTACGATTACGATAGCGGTTTGCGTTTGCGATTACGATTACGATTACGATATTCGATTATGCTGTTTTTTCAATATTTTAGGATATTCTATTTTTTATTTTTTTGTTTATTTCTTTTGTTTGTTGTAAATTGTTGCCTATTTGCTTTTGGCCAGCTGACTCTGGGCCGAGGTGGTCAACTTAGAGACGACACGCGTGAGGGCTCGATTCTCGGCACGCAGGCGGTCGTTCTCAGTCTTTAGCTTCTGCAATAGCTAAAACGACACAACAACACAGCGATAAAGAAGAAAATACAAAACAAAGCGTATGTTGCGATACATATGCATATAATTTGTTGTATGTTGTATATATGTTTTGGTATTTGTTTGGTTTTTCAATACATTTCGTTTCGTTTCGATTCGATGGATGAGGCGCACGTGGGAAGAGAGAGAGAAAAGAAAAACAAAATTTAAGTGAGCTTTTTTTGTTTGTTTGTTTTTTTTTTTTTGTTTTTGTTTGAAATGAGCGCAATGCGTTAAGATTAAAGAGAACGGCGCACCAAAGTGCAGGCCAAATGAATAACGTAAAACGTATAACGGTAAACGTGTAACGCATGGGCAGTGTGACCAAATCATAACAAGAAATGACTGACAATGTGATTGACGAAAGAGAATGAGACAATGGACAAGTGGACAATGAGGCAGACAAGTAGATGAAGATGATTCGTTTGATTGAAGATGATTGTTCTATGTGCGACAATGTTTATACAGATGTTTATACAGAGTTTTTGGATATCGGTTGGGTTCACGAAAAAAAGAATCAATAAAAGCAGTAGCTTATGTGCAGCTATCGCAAGTAAAAATAATATGAGTTTCATCAATAATAAACAATCGCAACTGTGCCGTAAAACGCATACACAGTGTAATTGAAAAAGTGGACAAAAATAAGCGAAGTAATGAAAATATAATGAATATACGGTATACGATATACGATCTGTAACAGCTGTACGATCTCGTGGCGTTTTAACGGGGTGCGAGAGCCAGGGAAATCGGAACGGAGTGCAGCTATAACAGATTTGCTATAAAATAAAACTATGTTAAGGTGGGAAGTTAAACAATAGGGTTAGGATAATATGTAAAAGAAACAAAGCAGGGGTATTATCGTAAGAGGTGCCGGCGGTGCAGCTAACTCCTCCAGCATGCGGCAGGTATTCATAACAAAAATTAAATATCGTAAATGAACAACTCTCGGCCAAATTATAAAACAAAAAGCAAAAATCCGAAATCATACGGGCTCGAAGTACTGATGGCATCTAACGAATTGTGTTGCGATACCTGGGACTCATTAACAAAAAGGTAGAAAAAAAGTGAAATCAAAAACACAAACAGCATACAGGCAGGAGACGTTCACTGTTATGGACAAAAGTGGGGGTGGGAGTAGGGTGTTGGTGCTGGGAACACATTTGTAATTACCTTGAGCTCTTCTTCCAATTCGGAAAGCTTGCGTTCCATAGCTCTTCTTTCACGTTTCTCAATCTCAGAGAGTGAATTTTTAGTGGTCTGCGAATGTGAAATGGAACAAATTTTGGCGTTTTGCTTTGCATTTCTATATATAGTATGTGGGATAACGGTATCGTGTCATACTGTTACTGTTGTTCAGTTGTAGTGTATTTTTTTTTTTTTTTTTTTTTTTTTTTTTTTGGGTACAGAAACAGAGAGCGAGAGCGAAAGGTTACAGAGCGCGGGCGGCAAGCGGGCATAAATTTTGATTAGAGCCATGTTAAATATGAGCTCCGGAGTGTTTTTTCTGTAGTTTGTTTTCGTGTCTTTGTTTGTTGGGTTTAGAGGCAGTGTTTACGGTATTGTTTGAGTTGTGCAAGTATGCGCGAAATAGCGAAAGAGAGCACGGCCTGGCCACAACAGACGCTGATAGATTTAAAGCAAGAGAGAGAGAGAGGGAGAGAGAAATTGAACTGTGGTTTTTGTTTGTGCGTTGTTGTTTTTGTTTTGTTACTGCTGAGAGAGTTTTGCTTTTGGTTGGTATTTTTTTTAAAATACAGTTTTGGTATTTTATTAGTATTAGTGGGCGTGGCATGTTAGTAACTGTCTACTTACGGCATTGGCGAAGCGCTCGAGCGTCGCACGCGTCTGTACAGCTTCGTCGTCCTTCTGCTTGAGCATTTGCTTGAGCTTATCGTTCTCCAGTCTAAGTGAGAGACAAAAGAGAGTTATTATATAGGAGAACAAACAGTTTTATAATGCAGAAAGTTGGGTTACTTATTACTAATAGGATGGCTTATGACTAGATGAGCCTTGATTTGCTCATTATTTTATTACCTTCTTTATTATCATGGAGCTTCAGGAATTTTGGAACTCACGCTTAGTATCATTAAATATGCGTAGGCTTCTCTCTGCTAAGTCTCCTGTAACCTTTCCTAAGTCTCTTCTTATTTGGATGCACTCTCTAGACTAAACAGTTCTCAGCTAACCATATGCAACTAGACTAGGACACTTCCACTCTACTCCGTTATCTGTTGAGTTACTCAACTCTAACTTATAAAGTCTTCTATTTGATAAACCTCGTAACTGGCTTTTGACCTGACCCATTCTCACTTCGGGTTCACTCACTGCGCATTCCACTTTCTGCATTTTTACGAAAAGAAGATCTTCACTCGAGCAATCCTTCCGCGCTTTGCCCTATAATTAACCTTTGCTGCACTTTCTACTTACTTGGCCGCTTCCCAGAGCGCCTTGTAGTCGATGCCATCGCCGTTTTCCGCTTTGTCGTTGTTGCTGGAACTCTTTGAATCGCTGCCGGTGCTCGTTGTCGCTGTGCTCGCGGTGCGAGAGCGTGAGGTGCGTTCACTGCCGCTCTGTAAAGGGGAATTCAATGGATTAAAGCACAAGCTAAATATGCAGACATACACTGCAAATCTCTATTAATCTTAAATCGAACTTATTTTGCTGCCTACAACAACATAGCAGCACATTTTAACCAATTGCTTACTTCGTAGCCCTCGCTCTTCTCCGAGGAGGCACTGATCGAACGCTGAGCAGCGCTGCGGGAACGTGTGCGATTGCGCGATTTGCGCTCCTGTTCCCGCAGCGAGTTGCTGCGCGTGGCCGCAATGGCCGCCACGGTGGCGCCGGCGCTGGTTGGCGCATTGAGGCTGCTGTTGGATGTGGACAAGGACTTGGCCTTGAGCAGACGCGCACTGGCCGAGCCCTTGAACGAATTGGAGGAGCTCAGACCCGGCGACTTGAAGCTGAGCGAGGCGGTAGTCACACCGTTGTCATAGCTGCTGGAGTAGGGACTGACATAGCGATGGTCGCTGCCGTAGCTGGACGTCGAGGTGCTCGGATAGGCGTAGCGCGAACTGTCATAGCCACCAGCGGCTGTGTGGGCATTGTTGGCATTGGATGAGTTGGTGGTGTTGGTGGTGCAAGTGGAGTTGGAAAGAGCAGATGCTTTAGATTTGCCATAACTATTGCTGCCGTGATGCTGATGCTGCTTGCTAACAACGATGTGGTAGTGATTCTGATGATTGCCTGAGGAAGCCTGCAACTGGTGCAGTTGGTAGTAGCTGCCGTTTCTATGATTGCTTTTAGTGCTGGAGGCGGCGGAGGCGCTGCCTCCAGATGAGCATGTGGAAGCGGATGAGCAGCTGCCAGCTGGCTGCTGATAATGCTGATAAGGCTGATGCTGATGATATTTGCTGTAGTCATAGCGATTGCTCGTATTACCATTCGAATAGTACGACCCTGCCGCACCACGCCCACCAATACTGCTGCTACCCCCGCCTCCATATAGACTCTCCCTGGAGCTGTAGATACTGGTGTAGGGGCTCTGATAGCCGCCACTGCCAGCGCCGCCGTTGCTGCTGCTGCTCGGATAGTAGCCCGTGCTCAGGGGCCTGGCATTGTAGCTGCTGCTGCTGCCGTTGTAGTTGTATCCGCCAGCGGAGGCGGAACTGCTGCCTCCAGCTCCTGTGGCGCCCATGCGCGAGCTGGAGGAGAGCGAGCGCCGTCGACTGGCGAGCGGCGCCTGTGTGCGCGGTCTTGAGCGAAAGGACATGATACGGTCTCCCTCTCTCTCTCTCTCTTACGCTCTTTCCCTCTCTATTACTTTACAAAGGCTATAAAGAAATCGATCTTAAGTATAGGCTTTGGGGCCATATATCAATCGATGCCGCCAAATTGCAATTACACTTGAAACAGATTGCCAGGTCAGAGAAATCGAACAGAACTTTTGCCATTTGCAATTTTCCAAATGTTTGTGAATTTATATGTGGTTTTTCTTCTTCTTTGGCATAAACAAAAGTGGAAAAACAAACAAATTTTCTGTACAAAGTGAAACGTTGTTTAAATGTGAAAAGGAAAACGCAATATTGACATGTGGCTCTCAGCCGTGGTCCCTCACACACACTCCCTCGCCAGAGAATCAAGCAACCGAGCCACAAAATGACGTCAAGACATAAATTTTGACATTCTGTTTTAAATTTTCCGCAATGCGGTAGAAAAGCGTTTCCCTAGGTGCGTTTGAATGTGTGCTATGCATGTGTGCGGGCGCGTTTGGGGAGGTCTTTTTGTTCTACATATGTTTAATAATAATATTGAAAACACATCCAAGAAGCACTACTAATCTATGTTTGGGACGACTCCATGGCGTGTTCTATTTATTTATTTACTGTGCGGTGTTAATGTCTTAAGTTGATGCTTCACCCACGCGAGAGTCAAACAGCAGACATGAACAGGCAGAACAACAGGCTAATTTGATGCATGCTAAGCATTGAACGACTAAGACATACCCTTCAATAAAAATACTACTAAAACTTACAATCGATTCTACTGCTTCAATTGAGTAGAAAGCTAACTATAATATTGATCAATTACTTCGTCAATTTATTAATCGTAGGATCTTATCAACATATTCCAAAACTTTATAACTTTTTTATATTGTCAATATACCCTATCATATGCTCGCACAGGGCACAAAAACGTTTCATTTAATCATTGTCGAGTGCATTTAATTTATGGCTCGTCCATTTCCTCATCTAATGAGCTATCTCTATATCTATAAAGATCTTGCCCATGAATAAAGCCTCTATGCCAGACACTAAAAAAAGTTTTACTGTTTCGGCGTATTGCAACAATATATTTCATTTTCCACAATTTAACTTGGCTAATTTCAGATAAAACATTTAAAAAATCAGCTTGTTTTTTATTGTTGTTGTGCCATGACAGCTACAAATTGATGCCAAGATCAGGGAGCAAGTTTTATGGGATTATGAAATGGTAGATAAAAGTGAATTTATAAATACATAAAGAAAATGTTTAGACGAAAATTGAATTGCTCAATTGAAATCAAAATCAACAGATAATAATTAGAAAATCAATTCAAGAAGTTGCCAGACAGAAAGTGCTAATAGAAACGATTTTGCACATTTATTAAATGTTTGCTTCAATGCAATTTGTTGAACTTTAACCTTTAACACGCGCACGAACGAAATCAAATTAAAAACTGATCAAAATATTTGACCATATAAAGAGCCTCAAAGCCAAAAAAAAAAAAAACTCGAAATGCCCAAAAAAAAAAAAAAAAGTAATAGTAATAAAACAAAATTGTGCGCAATACTCCAAATATGGCAACAGCACGTTCAATACAAAACCAACACACGACCACACATCCAAGTTTTCCCCCCTTGTGGAGACTCTCAAGAGTCTTGATTCGCAGATCTCGGATCTCTGGTAAACTGATAGCGAAAATTGCAAATTTTTGACACGTTTGACAGCTGTTGTGGTTTTTGTCAATGCACTATTCGATTGTGATTTACTTAGAAATAATAAAAGGAATTTCAATTTGATTTGCGTTAGTTGCTGCCTCTTGTGGTTGTTGCTTGATCTGCGGAATCTGTTGATCCGTTGCGTTAGCCGTATAAAACTCAACTGTGCGATCCAAGCAAAGTATCCAAATGTTTTATTCGAACAGACGAAAAACTTGGCGCACGATCAGAAATAGTCATCAAACACAAGTGAGAGAGAGAGAGAGAGGGCAAATAGACGCCAGAGTTAAGAGAGAAGAGCAGTTGTCTTAAGAGAAGCAAACGCGTATGAAATGAAAAGCCGGAAAAACGCGCTGGCAAAACTGAAGAAGAATCTGATTATTATAAACTACGTCTATAAAATATGAAAACAAAGAGTTGCAGCTGCTGGGAGGGGGGGTAAAAGCCTTGGCAGCAATGGACTTTTTCACTTGAATTGCGCACACAAAAGTTGTGTGTGTGTGTGTGTGTCTGTTTATATATATTTTTCACCTGTGTGTTGCCAGCTAAATTTAGTAATTCGCACACTTATTTGGCCCAATGTCCGAGACGCAAATGTGCAAACTATGCTGGGGTCAGCTGAGGCAGCCCCTGGCAGCAACTGGGCCAAAAGGCGAAACAGTCAACGACACGTGACACATGTCAGAGGGAAAGACCAAAGGGGAGACAGAGAGGAAGAGACTGAGAGAGTGGTATCAAGTGGAGAGTGGAGCACTTTCAGCTAAATTTACATATGAAGTTGCAACCGTTTGCTACCCTAAAAGTACACAATCATAACTAGGCCAAAAAGTTTAGTATAGTCTCTGTCTAAATATAGCACATGACGGAGGCAGCATCAGAACATCATTGCCCCCTGCTGCTGCTGACCCCTCCCCGAGCAACCACTGGTGGAAAGTGCAGCCGGCAGGGAATGAGGAAACAAATGCTTAAGCGCAAAACTACAAAATGCAAAAATTACAAAATGTATAAATTTAGCGACAAATGCGGCGCAAATGTTGTACATTTCTATGCTCTGCCACTGTGGCAGGGGCAGCAGCATGGCGAGGGATGCGACATGCCACGGGAAAACAAAGTTCAATGTACGTGTGAGCGATCTGTGTAAATTGTTGCTGTTCTTGTTGTTGTTCTTGTTGTTGTTGTTGTTCTTTGGGGCGTGCGGCACTTCTAAGTGGGCAATTTGTTTTGTGAAAAGCGCATTGTGAAAGTGTTTAATAGCTTTAGCCGCAACTCGTATCGTATCGCATTTATGTGCACACATATGCCGAAAAGCACAAACACTTGACATCGTCAATCAGCCCCAAATGGTTGACACGATTAGACGCAAGCACATATAGCAAAGACTACAAGACCAGGGTTGCAATCAAATATGATGCCTCAACCATAGTTTCTTACGATTCATATTATCCTCAAATGCTGGATATAGATATATATAGCATACTCTGCACAAGTATTGAGGTTCCAAATCTCAGGGGCCTATCTTAACAATTGTGTTTTTTATGAGGGAGTTAAGATAAAGTAACATAATATTTTCTTAAGATGATCGCAGTCCGATTTAAACGTTTCAGCTTTACTGATATCGATACAGTTGCTAATGACAAAGTTTTTTGATATTACGCCTTATACATAAGCAAAATAGATGATTGTTAAAAATAAGGAATGTTTCAGTATAAAATGTTTTCAAAGTAAAATTTGCTTTTCAGACAACTATATCTTAGTAGTTTATATAGATTAGATAAAAGTAGATATATAGAATGGATACTATATATAATATATCATCTGATGAGTATACTGGTACTTTTAATTTGCAGCAAAGTGGTCTCTCAACAATATTTTGCTTCTATTAATAATAAAAAAGAATATGAATTGAATTTTGTATTGATGATATTGGAACGTAAATATATTGTATCATACCATTTATAGAGTTGCCTTTCATTACCACATCTTTTATATCAAAACATTTTTTAGATAATACGAATTAATTTGTGTACTTATAATTTTTGACTTTTAAATCTTGTTTTTATTATACTTATATACAAAACTGTTTGCGCTGACTGAGTGACTAAAATACAACAACGCACAACCCAAGACGTAAAAGATAAGCAATTTTCATTGAAGTTACCTTATGTGATGATGGTGCACGTTAAGACGGGGATTCGGGCAATTCCACCCGAATGTGTGGAAAAATTTCGAAAAACGTTTTTGTTTCATTTCTCGCAAAAGATTTGGTGGGTGACGTTTCGCGCTTAAATTCATTTCCAAAGATGTGAATAGAAAATCATTTGAGACGTGTTTCGCACTTTTTGGACGAACTTGGTACATACATGTATGCATGTTTGTTTTGGACATGCATGCATGCATGCATACGGGACATGTATTCAAACATGCGCGCATGCATTCATGCATGCATACATACACACATACATACATACATACATGCATACATAGATACATATTTACATACATACATACATACATACATACGTGCATACATACGTACATACATACATACATACATACATAGATACATACATACATACATACATACATACATACATACATACATACATACATACATACATACATACATACATACATACATACATACATACATACATACATACATACATACATACATACATACATACATACATACATGCATGCATACATACATACAAAAAAAAAACACCAAAAAAAAACACCAAAAAAAAAACACCAAAAAAAAAAACACCAAAAAAAAAACACCAAAAAAAAAAAAACCAAAAAAAAAAACACCAAAAAAAAAACACCAAAAAAAAAACACTACACTACTAGCTTAGCATGAAAAACTGCAGAGTCTACTTGAATTCTTGAGAATCGAGGAGGAGAGCACTTGGCGAAAATTCGTTTTATTTAAATTTGCAGCAAAGCGAGAAATAAGCTTAGCCGGCGTTTGGTATTATTGGCATGCACACACTGACACACACTCTCCTCAACACACGCACACATACATACATACACACACACACATATATATATAAATAATACTTAAATCGACGCGACTTTTGATGCGTATCCAGAATGTATATAGTTTATGGGTTCGGGAATGCTTCCTTCTGCCTGTTACATACATTTGCATAAAACCAACATAGCCTACTTTTAATTGTCAATGGATACAGGGTATAATAAATTTGGCTGTTGCTTCTTCTTAATAAGTAAGTAATCGAATATTAGCAAGATATACGAAATTGAATCAACTTTCTATATTTTGCCACATCTATTTCGCAAACGCAAATCAGAATGACTTAAAGACAGATGAGCAGACAAACTGTCTGCTGAATTATATAGTTTTATATATAGTCGAGTCGTGTACGTAGCGTAAATGCCAAAAATGCATTTAGAAAATGTGACAGTTTTATTAATGGCCAACAACGGCAACTGGTCAAATGCTTGAATAAATTGTTAACAGGTTCGTTGAAAGTCAAAATTCTCAAATATTGTCACAAATTGGATGCGCACTAATAGTTTTGACCTCGGCCATGAAAGGATTTGCAATGCACCTTGCAATGTGAATACGCCCCAATACACTTATTATCATTCACAATTGGAGCAATGGCATTCACAATGCCACGTGCATGCATGTTCAGCTTCATCTTGCGCCTCCTCTAATGGCAATCATAATTTCTGTTTTCGCACAAATGGGTCGCTCACTAATTGGAACAGACAAGAGTCCCCCCTCCGGGCGGACCAGCAGCTACTTTGAAGGACACACGGGAATGTCTAAATGTGTGACAAGGTGTGACAGGTGTGAAGAGGGATGTGCAAGTGTGTGTGTATGTGTGCGTGTGTGTATGAGTGTGCGTGTCAGGCGCAGTATTGACTACGCAATTAGACGGAAGACAGGCAGCTGTTGAAGCAAACGAAAGCAACCGCCGGGCCAGCTACATTTTGAGCCCAATTTTTGCCCCAAGGTGTGAAAATATTTATGTACTAAATATATACGATTCTTGCTTGTTGTTGTAGGTATAGCAAAATAATTAAAAATATATATTATTAGCCGTGTTCCGAATTGCGATTTCGTTTGAAAATGCTTGAAAACGAATTGAAAAGTTGTTACCCTATTCTAAGAATTGTTCGAATTGTTTTAGGATTTCAATTTTTTCAATTTTCGACATATGTAGACTAATTTTAGAAATATTTTACTTTTAATTTAATTACTTTAAAAGCAAGTCCAGCTGCATTTCGTTTTAAGTGTGAATAAAGTTAAAATTCGTTTTAGAAAATTAGTTTCTATTTGAACTTTTACAAAATTCAACACCTATTCGGAACAGGCTTTTAGAATATGTGTATATTACAATTAAATATTGTTATAGTTCAGCTCACCTCCTTATCCTTATCCTCATTGTCATTGTTGGCCGTTTCGTGTTGGCGTTCCGGATCAATTTCCTAGATAGGCAAAGAAAATAAGACACATTAGTTAAACTAATTAGCATTTGGTCTAAATATAAATATATTTGGCATGCGCTTGCGGCTCATTAAATTTGATAAATAGCGAGAGGGATCCACTTACATCCATATCGATATGCACCACGCCCGTGGATCTGCGCTTGGGCTTGCGACGTCGCTGAATAACAGTCTGTGTACGATTATCGTTCTCCTTGTCGTTATCTGTGAATGGAGTGGAGAATAGCTGGATGTTGAGTGTGTGCTTGGGCCATGTTAGACGGTGCGCATTACCCTTATCATCATGGCCGGGCGTGGAGCTAGTCGCCGTTCCATGGTTGGCACTGGATGCAGACGCGGAGTTGGTGGCTGTCGTGGCAGTTGTTGTGGCTGTTGTCGAGGCAGCTGTCCCCAGCGTGGATGTCTCGTATCTACGCGCCGGCGGCGTCACATATGCGCTGTTATTGCTGCTCTCGCTGGGTGCTGAGACCGGACGACCCACCGAGTTGAGCGATTGATTGGAAGCGTTAACTGCAAACAATTTAAATAATGTAAATAAAGGTTTTCCTTAACTGTTTCAAGTCAACTTACGCGCATTGGGTCCACTGCTTATGCGACGCGGGTTGCCCGTTGTGCTGGCCAAATTAACCGCGGCCATCACGGCCGGTGCGCTGGGTATGATTGTGCTCTGATTGGGCGGGTAGGTGCCACCGCTGGTGATGTCCTCCAGCTTGAACTGCGCAAGAAAAACATATTAATTGTGGCTCCTTCAGATTAGTCTTTATATATAGTTTCTTTTTGAATATATAGCCCCTCTTAGAAATCTTCTTGTTTTTATTGTTTGTGTGCATGTGTTTCGTTTTTTTGGTATTGTAACAAGCTAAGCTGGTAATGTGTTGTTTTATTTGTTGCATATTAATTCAATATATTGTTTTTAGTCAAGGCGCATTTACTGGAATTGGCAACGATTTTAATGTTGTTTTTAGTAAATATTTTTAGTAGACATTACGCCAGACACCGTTAAATCTGTTATGGGATATTACCAAAACTTTAACCTTTTTGGACTAATAATCCTTTGAACATTACTTTATGGTATTTTGTATATTAAGTTCCTTTAAATGCCATTATATTATTTTCCCTATATAGCTATCAAAGAAGTTTATAAACGTATCAAAGAATATAAAAGATATAGAGCTTCGATCCTAAATTATTAAGTTCATTAAATTATTCTACGTTTTCCATCTAACTCGCCGCTGTTAGCTCAGAAACCCCAGTATTTGTTAATAAATATATATATTATAATAGATTTTAATCCTCCCTTTCAGTTACTAGATCGTTGAATGTATATAGCATCATTAAATATTAATAAAAATTAAAATATAATATAAATACTTAGTCAAACAATAAGCAAGCCAGACATAGCAAAAAGTTAATAAGCGTTAATTAATGAATAATATGCATATGTATATGTATACTATATACAATAATGTTCATGTGCGATATCATGTTTCCGAGAATATAAGTATACGTAATGGCATATTGTTTAGAGTGTACTACAATTAAACAAATACATAAATACATACATATATATATATATATTTATACATAGGATAGTTATTAACATCTAAATGCAGATGCAGAGCAATTGAGACAGGCGTTCAAAATGAGCATAAACATTTAAAAAAAGAAGAAATATATAGTACTTAAGAAAAATAAAAATAAAACAATGTTTAAGAGCTACAATTAAAAAAAAAATGCTTTACAAATTCATTCAATACGATACCCTTGCAATAACTCGGAATGAACAATTGTAATTTGTTTAAGATTAATATATTAACATATTCCCAGAAATTGCCTTCATGAATGGCACGTCTTCATTGTGTGAGCTCCTTTTGTAAGGGTATACGCAACTTCGGCGCACCGAAGCTAGTTGAATTTGCACGCTTTAAACATTTAAGTCCTCTAAAACTAAGAAAAAAAAGAACATGCTACACTTAAAGTTTAACAAAAACTGTTTTTGAAAGCCAGTCGAAATAGTTTTCGCACCAAACGTTTGTTGTTTAGGTCATGGTTCGATTAAAGGTCAGTTGAGTAGTTGAGTTGTTTGTTGTTGTTGGTTGTTTTTTTGTTGGTTGTTGTTGTTGTTTGCATACCTTTGAGCCCGCATCAAACTTGAGACGCCAAGACGGACGCCGCTCGGCTGCTGATGTGGATGTGCTTGAAGACGACGACGTCGATGGCGCAACAGTTGCGCCTCCAGCGCTAGCAACAGCAGCAGCAACCGCTGCACCACCCGCACCACCGCTCTCCAGCGTACGACGTGCATACAAGCTAAGCAAAGAGTCGCGCGCATTGAAATCCGCATGTGCGCCAACTGGCGAGGCCGTGTCCGACTTGGTATCCGTTTCTTGAGAAGATCCTCCTCCTCCTACACCTCCCCCAGTAGCATTGCTGCTCAGGCTGCGCTTGTCCCGCAGTCGTACCGGACTCTCCAGCACGCTGGGCGTTGTGGCAGGTGTCGTCGTCGATGCTGGTTTGCTTTCGGCTGGCGCTGTTGCTGCCAGCGCCAGTTCTGTGGGTCTGGCTTGCATTGCCTTGGACTCACCGCCAGTTTCGGTGTCCAACATGTGCGCTTGCTTGGCAACTGGATCAGTCTTTAGTTGTTTGTGGCTGCTCGACTCCACCGCCGACTCGACGGGCTTCTCTCGCCTCGAGACTATCGTGTAGCTGGCGCTGACCGCCGTCTGCTGCTCATCCTCAGCATCGCTGTCGGGAACATCAACAAATTCTGCATGGTCGCCATTGCCACCGTGTGATATGCGTGTGGCTGGTGCTGCCAGCGTGAAGCTAGCGGTGGTATCCGCATTGTCCACAACCGCCGCTGGCGCCAGTGTGGCAACCACAGCCTCAACTATCTCCAAATCATCCGCTGTCGTCGTTGTTTTCGGTATTATGGCTGGTGGCGGACTTGTTGGCGGTGGCGGTGGCTGCGCTTCCTGTTGTTGCAGGCTGCTGCTGCTCTCAATGTTGCTGTCGTCGCTGCTGCTGCTGATTGCTGTTGCAGTTGCAGTTGTTGTGCTTGAAGTTGCTGTTGCTGTTGCTGTAGTTGATGTTGTTGTTGTTGTGGTGCTTGATGTGGAGCTTGTTTCATTCTGTTAATAATATTAGTTGTGGAACAAATAATAAAAAAACAGTTCACCTGAGCGAGTCTCCAAAAACAAAAATCAAATGGCGTTTCTGGATGAGTTTTAGGGAGGGTGGATAAAGAGAGAGTTGAGGGGCCCCCCCGTAAACTTTTAAAATAAGTATAGTTACGATATACGGTATACGATAAAAAGAAAACATATACATACGACATACGTAGAGTGCCCCGGCACTTTGATATACTTGTAGAGAACTCTAGACGCATGCAAATTCGCACATGCACAAATACATAAATATGGTTTATATATAGTAGAATTTAAAAATCTGAGCAATCAGTTCTATTAATATATAAAAATAAAATTAACTTAAAATACATACAATTAATTACACTATTCTCGCTTTGTTACGCTGATGAAATCATAAAATAAATCTTATAGAACAAAAATACTCCACATGAATGAAAATTTTGATATTATGAGAACCGTTGCGAGTTTCGAACGCGGCGTTGGCAGCTGCGGCGGGCGGCGGTGAGGCAGGGCACTTGCTTTCAATTTGATCAGTGGCGCAATAATAAAAATAATTTGAAAAGAAAAAAAACTCGGATGCACACGAAATCTCAAACGCAATCGCAGTAAAACTCAATTTGATTGGCGTTCAGTTTTGATTGTTAAAAATTGCAGCTGAACACGCAGGCTAAATGAGTGCGCTGATTGATTGATCGACTGATTTGATTGATGGGCACGCTGATTGAATATATGATCAACTAGACTACATTTTGGGATTTGAATGTGTTCCGCACACACTATGCAACCAGGCAAGGTACTTGGTGAATTACTTTGGATACATTTGTTATTAATTAAATATATTTTGGTAATTTCTTTAATGAGAAAGGAAGAGCTGGGCCTTAAGCTTGACAATGCAATGCAAGATACTTTTTAAAGTGGTTCAAAAGGTTTTTTAAACATTATTGAAGTCTGTTTAGAAACAAATGTAGGCTCAGAACCACATATTACTCTAAGCCAGGTTTAGAATCAAAGTTTATCTTTACAATATTTTCACATATTTCAAGCAAACTCTCCTTTTGTTGCATAGTGCCTGGGTAAACGAATTGGAGTTAACTAAGTACTACCATAAAGCTTACTTTGTTAAAACTAGGCTTAACAAACGTGCTTACACACACACTCACAAACATACGCATTTGATGTGGGAGAGATACATATAGAAATGAGAACGACAAACACCAAACACCAACAAAAAACGACTGCAATGGCATGAGAGAGAGAGAGAGAGATTGGGGCAAGAGAAAGGTGCGTAACGTTTGCAGGGTTGCAATCGCGGCACACAGACTTACACACACACACACACATACGTACACATGGTCGTTGTTTTGAGGGGGTAGGGAGAACGACACAACAAATACATTAATGGGAATACCATAACCATAAGCAGTTGTTGTTGTTGCTGTAGTTGTTGTTGTTGTTGTTGGTGTACATGTGTTGTGGACTCTTCTCACTACAAATCACAATACTATATATAACAACTAAGATATATATATAGGTATGCTTGATGATAATGTGTATATGGCTGATCTGGCTGATCTACGATTCGCTAATAAACTTTTTTTACTGATTTTAAAGTGTGTGGAATTGTTGGATGGATTCTGTTTCACTAGATGTTTCATTTGGTTTAGCGCTTTAGCTTGGCCACACAAACTACTTACGCTGCTGCTGTTGTTGTTGTTATTGTTGTTGTTGTTGTTCATGCCCAAGTTCTTCTTCTTGACCAGCTCCTCGGCACTCTTGATCTCCTCGAGCGTAACGCCCTGCGTGGAGCGACGCGTCTCACGGACTCGTTTCGCGTGCGCCTTGCGCTGCGTTTCGCTCTCCTCGTCGCGCACTGGCGGCACAAAGGATCTAAAGATGGGGTAGATGGATACTTATTAGTCAAATTTCAACATATTGGAGCACAAAAGAACAAAGAGAGAGCACGGCACATGCTATATAATAAAATAAAGGCGTCTTTTTTATTTTTCTTAGGCGGAGCTGTGGAGTGTTAGCAACTAGCACAGTTTTAACGGCCTTCGGGTTAGCGCATAACAACAGTTAGCCAATTAACAATTACGATTCACAATCATGATTACTTGAAAAAGTTCTTGAATATATTGCCCGCCGATTGCTTGGGTTTTGGTTGGGTCTCCGCATCGCTTGCACTGGCGCTCGCCATAGAGCTGGCATTGTTGTTGTTGTTGGCAGGATTGCTAACGGGCGTATATAGGCATATATACATATATATAATAAACCGATGATAAAATATATAACTCAAAAATAACAGTAACCGACAGTAGCTAACAAAAGATTTGTGTCTACTAATTAGGCAACTATTAACCTACTTCTATGCTCTTTTTTTTAAATAGGATTAATTAACTCTGACATATTTTTCCTCTTCACTGAATACCCTTTATAAGAAGCGGAAATTATAATCGATATTCAAAAGCTATTTCTGTAACAATCGATACGTTTCTTTAGGTTTATCGTAAATCACATGAATATCGTAATACTAAATACCGTAAGTAAAGAATTCAAAAAGAATCGCTCATACGTCCCATAATCCATACAAAAAGCTATCAATAAGTGACAAGAAACTGGAATTTCTTAGCCCTGACAATTTAAAACCCCTTGAGAACTAACTAATGTCACATTACGACGAGAGAAAGTTAATCTTTAAATAAACTGTCTTTCTACTTTGTGGTTGACACTCACCTGCGTATAGGTGGGGTGAGCACAGTTGTTGATGGTGAGCTGAGCGTCGTTGTTGTTGTTGTAGTCGTTGTTGTCGCTGCTGTCAGCATCGTAGCTGGAGCGATTGGTTTCCTGTGAGAGCAGCAGACAAGGATTGAGAGAGCGTGAGAGAGTGGAAGAGATAAAAGAGAGAGAGAGCAAAACATTAAAGAGAGTCGCTGCATTAGATTAAATAGCACATCTAAGAGAGGTAGACGACATTGTGCGCACTGCCTAAATAAATGTTAAGTAGACTTGTTGTTGGTGCAATGAGAATTTGTCGGGGATATAGATACACGATATAGATACACTATATGCATAGAGAAGCTAAGCAAAAGCAATAATTATAGATTTAAGTTTAGAGTTAACAGATTACGGTTTACAGTTCTATTAATTGTTATCAAATACTTGCTAGTTAGTTACAGTTAGTTAGGAGTTATGACTAGGAGTTGCGAGTTTTTCTTTTGGCACAAAACAAACCTGAAATATACTGAGTTATCTTTGAGGGAGGCCGATCTTTGTACGCTATAAATTTGACTTGGATTTGCTGTAGTAGCTGCTGCTGTTGCAGTTGTTGTTGTGTTGTTGGTGTGTGTGTTGAATGTAGTTGTTGTTGTTGTGGTGGTTGTTGTGTTGTTGTAGTTGTTGCTGCTGCTGCCGCTGCTGCTGCTGACGCTGGTTGTGCTCACAGTTTTTCCCAACAGCAGCGCGCTCTTATTGTTATTGTTGTTGTTGTTATTGTTATTATTGTTGTTATTGCTACTTTGGTTATTGTTGTTATTTGCATTGCCGGGCAGAGCATTTGCCGTCGTCGCTGGCAGTATGGGACATGAGTTCGCCTTTATGCGTGCCCGCAGCTCATTGTACTTTTGATAGAATCTGCACGGATCAGATCAGGACGGGCAGATGGGCAGTTGGGCAGTTGAGCGGATGGGCAGAGCACAGGCAGGCGGGGCGAACGGGTTGTGGCAGGCGGGCGGGCGGGTTAGAATTGGATTTTTTTATAAGCGTTTGATGAATTGGTGCGATTTGGTGAATTGTTGTTGTTGTTGTTGTAGTTGTTGTAGTAGTAGTTGTTGTTGCACATAAGAAAAAGAACACACAAAAAAAATAGCAAAACAAAACAAATTTTAAATAAAATGTAAAAAACGTTCGTAAGGTTTTTCTTTTGTTTACAGTTTGTGCTTCACAATTTGCCGCTGCGCCGCAGCTGAGACCCGAATGCTCTCTATAGAATTTGAACACTAAGCGTTGCCCCTTTATACAAATATATATATTTCTGGAAATTTTTTATCTGATTCATAAGCTCTTTTGAGTGGAGACAACAGTTGAACAGTTGAGAGTGTGGCTAATTTTAAAAGTTCGATAATGGCCAATTCAATGAGTTCGTTTGTCTGTGTCTGTATAATGAGGTGTTGGGGTGTAGTGGTCTGTGTGTGTGTGTGTGTGTGTGTGTAAGCTGCGTGAGGTGTTTATTGATAAGCGACGCGCAATCAGCAAATGTGAAACACAAACGGCAAATTTAACCGAAAATGTTGTGCGATTCGTGACACATTAACTATACAATTTGTTAAAATATTAAATGCGGGTTAATTTGTGTATTTGTCGTGGAGTGTACATGGTGTGTGTGTGTGTGTGTGTGTGTGTGGCACGCATTTGTGTCTAGTTAAGCTAGGTGTGCGCCTGTATGTGTGTGTGTGTGTTTGTGTGTGTGCGGCTCAACTTACTTTTGATCATTCTCAAAGCTTTGCGTGCGCCGCAAGATGACATCGTTTGCGCTCTCATTAGCGCTTTTGCCGCTCAGCTCTTTGTCAGGAACTTCTGCAAATGAATATAAAGATTTGATTATTAACTGTTTAGCATTAGGGGACATATTACTTACGATTCTTAGTGGGACTGTCGTTGGGCGTGCGCAGAGTTTTGCGTCGCCAGGGCGCCTCCTCCTCGGCAGAATGCTCGCCAGCATGTATATGCTGATTGGGTTTAACATTTTCAGCTGTAAAAGCAAAATTTAAACACATATTAGTTAATGGCAAATGACGAATGGGGGCATTTAAATTGGTTAGTCTTGGCTTAATGCAGGCTTTAAGCACATTGAGGGGTGGGCGAATAACTGAGGATCTCAACAAATTAGCGACTACCTTCGCTCTCGGATAGACTTGTGCTGTGTGAGCTCTCTGTCGAATCGCTCAGCTCTGAATCGCTTTCAACATCAACATCAACATCATCATTATCATCAACATCATTATGATCCTGGGCAGCAGTAACAACTGTGGCAGCAACATCATCATCATTTAGCGCAACTTGATCGCTGGCGTTAAGCGAACCGCTCGCAGCTGCAGTGTGCGGTGTGGACAAAGACAAGACACAAATAGAGCAAAGAGAGAGAGAGAGAACAGAAGGAGAATGGTAGCAGGCAGAGAAAGTGGGGAGGGAGAAATAGATTGAGAGAGAATTACACAAACTGTTGACTGAACGATGAGTTTGATGGCATTGATGATAATAAAGATGAGACGCAAAACATGAAAAGTGGCAGCTGGAGATGAGGTGATACGAGGACGTGAACATGGACGTTAACAAGGCTGTGGCAAAGTTTGTTTTGTAATAAATGCTTGAAACTGAATCTTAACGCGCATGTGAGCCTAATTGAGTGGCACGAGTGTACAAAAACAAAGACACGCACAAAGTTTGGCATAGAAATTAAAGAAAACTTTTTTTTTATAAAAAAATATGCAAATAAGCAGCTGCGCTCGGAAGGCATTGAGGGTGGGTCTCTGAAAACTATCTGGAATTGGGTGTACGCACCATCCTTAGCGGCATCAGTTCTCACTTCGACGCGTACGAGTTTCATTCGTGTTTTGTCCACATGATTTTCAATCGCATCTGAGATTCTGCTGAAAATAAAATGATTTGTAATTGACCATATGTTTGGATTCTGATGGCCACTCACCTGATTTGACTAGATGGACGCCGTTTGTTGCGCTTATTGGCGCGCAGCTCTTCAAGGAATTTGACCATTTTGCGATCGGCCACATCGATGCAGGATTGGCCAGCATAATTGGGTATATCCATATCGGCCAGGGCCTCCACCAGCATTTCAGCTGTCTCCTTTTGGCCCCAGTGTGCGGCAGCATGCAATGGTGTCCAGCCATCGTTATCCTGCCTATCAACATTGCAGTCACGGGCCAGCAATAGACGTAGCACTTTCGTATAGCCCTTGGCGGCGGCCACATGCAACGCCGTTGCACCAGTTTTTGGATGCGGCTGATCCACTTCGGCCGCATCGCTGCGCTTGGCATCTTTCAGCATGGCCTGCTCCTCGGCCCTACGTGCCTGATCCACATCAATATTCAGCTCCTGCACCACCTTTTCCATATAGTTAATCATGGGCATGTGCTGCACATCGATAGCCAAGTCCAGCGCCAGATCGCCATCGCTGTTCACGGCAGCCACATCGGCGTTGTGCTCCACCAGATAGCATGCTATGCTGACAAAGCTGTAAGTGAGGTTTCGTTAAAAAGCTGTGACGGGTAGGAGATAGAAAGTGGTTACTTACCCGCAGGAGGCGGTTGCATGCAGCGGCGTCCAGCCCTCGTTGTCTTGCCGATTGATATCGGCGCCGTGCTCTATTAAAAACTCAACCATGTCGAGTTTGTCATCGATGCAGGCCTGTAAAACAATGTTTAGGCTTATTTTAATCAAACTTCACAAGAGTGTTTAAGAGTATAAGACGGCTTTAAGCTGTGACACATCCGTTTTAAGTAGCATTAACAAATATTTTCAGTTAAGGTGTTACGATCCGAAAACTGTGCTACATAAAAATGATAAGAATTTTATCATTCATACAAATATCTTCAAGAAATTTGTCAATTAAACTTCTTATTTCAAATCAATTCATTTGAGGAAAGGAATATGAATAACTTTATAACTGACTGAAGCCTCTTTTAAACCAATTTTGTTCTTGCACTTTTTGTTCACAGTTGATAAATTGATGTCCTTGTTTACAGTTTGCCAATGGCTTGTTTTATAGATCTACTAAATACATTGCAATATATATCTATTGTGGGAATTTTCTTTTCATCTTCGGGTTCAACTGCCGTTCATAGACTCTTATACTCGCTCGCTTGTTTTTGTATAAGTAATTGTGCCATGTTTTAATAGCTCTGCTACATTTTCTGTTTATCTTGCTAAAAACGCTAAAGTAAACAGACGCACACAGATATACAGAGACATATATTCGCTGCGACTGGAACTGAGCGTGGCACATGGACAACATTGTTTATGCGGATTTCCGTTGAAGCGAAGACATCGCCGTTCGCTCGTATGCACAATGAAGACGACAACAACAACAACAACAACAACGACGACGACGACGACAACCGATGATGGCGATGATATCATCATGAGCAACTCCGGCGACAGCGGCTTCTATGCGCCGCTATCTAGCGACAAAACCCGCCCAATGGCAACAACGACAACAATGCGACGCTTAGCAGTCAGTGAAATGGCGATAAGAATTCTTAACAATAAAAAATGAAGAACACAGAAGTGCCTCATTGGAGGGAGTCCGACTTAGAGATACTCTCAACTGCCATTCTAGCTTTCTTCTATAAAAGACTTTGTTGTCTAAGGCTAGGCTTAAGAATGACTGACAAAAGTATGTGTATATAAAGTGAAATATTTAAATTCTGAATTTACTATAAGAGAGTTAAATACTTAGTTTGTAGTATCTTGTTTCTATATCTAACGAGTTATGTTTATAGAGGCATGTCCCGGAATGGAAAGATGAACTCAGCTCAACATATTGATCATCGTCTCTCCGATATAGCTATTTTAAGCTGTAACACACATTTGAACAAAACCAATATACCCTCTCACCCATTTTCGATGGGCAAAAAGCAACAACTTCAGGCCTCAATACCAATACCAATACCAATGCGAATGCCCAGTCGACCAATTGTTGCTGTTGATAAGCATGTGGAGTATTTAAATTCAAATGTTCTTTAGTTCTTTGTATGTTTTTTGATTGTTTTATAGTCGCCATATGTTAATTTAGTTGTTTTTTTGTTTTAATTTAAAAGGGTCTGCTGGTTTGGAAATGCAAAAGCAAATTCCATTTCGCAGTAAAAACGCATAAAAGGCGCGCGGGCCACAAGGCACGGGCGGAGGCGATACAAAAACCAAACGGTGGCAGCGACTGTGAGCAATTTGTAAATCTGGAACGCAGCCAATTAATTAATTATGAGCAATTTTGATAAACTGACCAACTGACGACGACGACGACGACGACGATGGGCGGACCGCCCACGCGTGACCATCCCGACAACAACAATAATTGTGGCATGCAAAATTTGACATGAGCTATTTGGCTGACAATTTGTGACTTTTGATTTCTGGTCTGGTGTTAATGTCAGCCACATCTACATCCACAGCAACAGCAGCAATAGCAGCGATAGCCACAGTGAATTCTGTGCTATTTTCATTGCATTGAAAGCGAATTTTTTCTTGGCCAGCGAAAAAGGCGCTCTACGAGTTGCATGCTAAGTTTAGCCTTTTGTTTTTGGCACGCCATTGAGCGGCATTTTGCCCGTTGCCTCTCCTTCTATCTCTATCTCTATGCCCCCCTCTCTGTCTTTGTGTGAAATGTTATTCACCCCGCCGCATTACGTATACGCCGCATATTGCTGCAATCAGCTGCAACTTGTTGAGACGGCTTTGCGGCAGCAACAAGCCGCTTAACTACAAAACCCATCGCCCACTTTGTACACTAAGCTGCAGCATCCTTTCCAACTCTCTTCTGTTCGAAGTGTTGTTCAGAAGAGCATACTCCACGATACAGTGTGCTAATAACCTTTCGAGCGTCTTTCATTACGCAATTCCTCTTTGCATGTCTTCCTTAATTGTTACTCTAGAAGTTGACATTTACATGACCATATAATATTGTGTTATAGTACTCCTTAGAGATTCATTTTAACATCATTAAATTTCGTTATTCCTCTTTGCGCCTCATTCTTAATCGTCGGACAAGACCAATTGGCAATTCCTCTTTGCATCTCATCCTTAATCGCTGCACTAGCAGTTTTCATTTACTTGGTTATGTGATATTTTGTTATATTACTATTAAGAAATCTAGTGAAAGCCAACAAATCTGTACATAAGCCTGAGTTTCATGCCCGAAACTTTTTAGTTTGGCTAACAGAATGATTTATTAGCTAAAACTGGACTTTTTAAATATTTTTATATCTTACTTGGCATATGCTCTCGACAAATGGGTTATATTTATTCAGTTCTAATGCCTAAAGAAATTGATTTATATATAAATCTAATTAATTGCTTAAGCAAATGCTCATTACCAGTTGAGCAATAGCTGGCAAAGCGAACCATTCGCTTGTATAGATTTTTAAAAACAATTTGAATTAGCAGCGGAAGCCTCAAGGCACTTGTCCAATATTCAATGCGACTACTCGACTATATATAATATATACAAAAAGATTCGCATTTTGGATACACAATGGCCAGGCACATGGCAAAATGTTCTTATGGCTTATGGCAAGCCTTCATAATTTCAAATAATTTTAGTTTCTTTTTTTTTCGAGGGAAAGTTCTCGTGTATTTTATGCCACTTGAATGCCTCGCCCTCGCCTAGCTGCCAAAAAAAAATTCTATTAAAGAGAATGAAAGAAAAAAGGCGGCGCCAACTGCGAAGCGGCGTCTATTAATTTCACTCGGCTCGTTTTTTGCTCAGCCGCGTTATTTCTGTTACGTGTACTAATAGATTTTTGGCCGTGGCCAAATCAAAAGACTGGAGCAGAGCCACCTGTGCCAAGAGATTCAAAAGGAATACAGTAAATGCCTAGACATGATTAACAAGCGAAGAATGCATAAAATGGGCAATATAAACAGATTTGTTATATTATATTATATTATGCATGGCAAATTCTCGTAGCAGTTCTGTTTATGATAATTCTGATTATGTAGATTATGCAAAATGTTTGGAATGTGCGAGTGGGCCACATTACTCAGCACAAATTGCCCAGATTTATGTACATATAATATTATCAATATATATGCGAATCATAAACTTCTACAAGATAAATATAGTACAGGCAATTAAAAGCCTCCTCAAAATACAGCTCCTTTGCTTTTGGCATTTGCTATATCTCGCTCAAGCTTAGCTGTTACCAAGTTCAATAGCATATATATATTTAGCATACGGCTGGCTTTGCAACTTTATGACCTGTCCTTTTCACCTGTTTTTCGTATAAACTTTATTGATTTCAACTGAACTTTGGCAAAAACCGTTAAAGATTTGCTTTACGATTTTTGGACTCGCACATTTCCGCATTTAGTTGCGACATATAAATAAAATATTCACAAAAAGACGCTGCCGGTGGATCCACCCACCCTTTATATACAGATCATATACATGAAAAACTATTTTTGTGCATATTTCGTCATAGATTTTGCAAAGAAAAACAAGTCGGCGGAATGTGCCAGGCCTAGGAGATATCCTCGATGGAAACTCTAGGTGCCTTCTAAACAAATACAAAAATATAAAAACACAGACCCGTCGTTTGTTGGAAAGGTTTTTCGCAGGGATTGTTCTCGCTTGTTCTTGCAACTTTTATTAAAATCGGTGTATATAGTCCGACATCTCGTCATGTTGACCTGGCCTAAATATACTGGCTGTACTAGATGATGCCTTTCTGTCCGTGCATAACCAATATACCCTGCCTTACCCCTTTTCAATACGTTCGGGGTACACAAATTTCATTCTGTGTTATAAATCTGTGTATTTGTTCGCCTTAAAGGCAACAACAATTTTCCATTTTTTTTCTTCTTGTTTTTCACAAGTTTTCCCCAGCCCCACAGCCATGTTTGTGTGTGTGTGTGAGCCATAAAATGAGCTCAAATAATACAATCAGATGGAGAACTGGGAGCCAGCGGCAGTTGTAAAATGTACAACAATTTAATGGCAATATGTGCATTTTGCAGTTGTTGTTGTTCTTGTTGTTATTTTCGATTTTGCTCGAAATGGTATTATGCAATGCACTCTTTACACACACACACACACACACACACACACATACACACGCTGCAGACACATTAGATCGCATCGCATCGCATCGCATAGAATGATTTTTCAGTTAGCTCAATTCGCAAGATTTTCAGCATCGTTTGTTATTTTGGGTGTAAAACACCAAACGAGAAATAAATCAAATCAAATGTAGCCACAGCCGCAGCAGCCATTTATATGCCCCAAACATACATATATACATCAATATACAGATAGATATATACATATTTATACATACGCATGCAACACGCGCTGTGAATTCTTGAGGATGTTTGATTTGTATCTGTTGCTGTTGCTGTTGTGTATATCGCATATCGTGTGTCTGTGCGTTTTGGATCCGTTCGTCTGTCCGTCTGCCCCGCTGCTGAGAGCGCAGAGATAGAACCGGGCCAAGGTTACAAAACACGTCAATAAAGCGCGTTAACAATAACAACAGCAACAAAACAATATTATTTTATTATTATTGTTGTTTTTGGAAAAACTCACGCAACGCAACTGAAAAACTACTCTGCGATTTCCGAGACAGGACTTTAACGAGAGATCAGATCAGATCAGATCGGAGCAGAGCAGAGCAGAGCACACATCGAATATCGATTTGGGGTCACGTCGTCTAACGATCACGATTCATGACTTGCTGCCATTATTCTGTTAATATATTATGCATTCGTGTGGAGATATCGCTTAATTTGCAAAACTTGACAAAATAATTAGCTAATTTATGCGACAATTTAACCGGCCTCTGTCTGGGCCAATTGTCAATTGCAAATGGGAGCCCAAACTAATTGGCCAGCATTTAAGATAAGCGCGTATTCAAATTATGATAAATTATATTCAAGGCTTTTATTCTTTATACTTTATACGCGCACATGTCACTCAAATCTTAAAGACATCTTAATTATAATGTGACCAAAAACTGTTTCAAGTGTTGTTCAAACGCGTGTTCTTATAATCCGACAATCAAATTGAGCAGCGAAGTAAAAAACAACCAGAAAGAACTTCTATACGCAGTCTGAATACCCTTGCAGACATATGGCTTTATAGTCGGCATAATATCATAAAGTTGATAGATTTCTTGTCAAGATATCTGAAGTAACTCAGACTTCGTTCGATAAGCAGCATGGAGGGTTTTCTTACAAGAACTTAGTTTAAATGGCTGATCAAACTAGTTCTAGGCAAAGTTTCGTAACTGATGGCAAAGTTTCGTATAGGGTCACGGAGACTTCTTCTATTCATTACAAACTACATGACAAAATTATAATACCTCTACATGCAAGCGCATGACAAACTGTTTCAGCGGAAGACAAAATGGAATTAAGAGATTATGTTTAGAGGATATGAATCCAGCTTTAAAGCTGAAAACAAAGTTTCGAGCAGCAGCAACAGAAACTGCTGCCAATGTTTCAAATGCGAATTTGATAATTAAAACATATTGTCATTTAGCTTAAGCCAGGTTGATTAGCTTAAAAAATAATTAAGACATTCAAAGCTGAGCCTAGAATGTACCAGCAAAGAATTGATTTATTTACGTTTTGTATTTTGGCGTATTGCGTATTTAGTTTGCAGCTCAATTTAATTATAGCACTCAGAGATATAATAAATGTAGATGGCCATGCGGCATATTTATAAAAATCGGATTATCCTTGAACTATGCACGAAATAACATTGAAATATGGAACATATAAAATATATAGAATATATACCAACTGTATGTGAAACATGTGTAAACAACGCAAACATTTGTAATTTATTGCAATTTGCTTAAAACATTTTGCAGTCGTCTTACCACGCCCCACTTACCCGCCCCCCTGGCGAGTTGAATGTCAACGCACTGCGATGGACAGTTCCGACCTCCAACAAAACACCCCCTGCCCAAAGACTGTGGCTCGTCGTCATCATCATCATCATAATGATCATGATCATGATCATCATTCATAGCCGAAGGTGGCAGCCGTTTTGGTTTGCCATTGAATACGGCCGAGGCAGGTGTTTTGGCTTCAGGTGTTTGTTGTTTATGAATGAAAGCCGAAACAAACAATTTTCACTTGTAAAAAGAAAGCAGCAGAAAAAAAAAACCAACACACACACACAAGCGGAGCCTTCGCGTTAAGACTTTGATCATCAAAATCAGCGATGAATTAATTAATTATAATACTTACAGCATATAAGAAAATGCAATAGAAATTCAGTTTGCGGTTTAACAACAACAAAAAAAACAGCAACAACAGCCGCAAGTAATTCAAGACTGTGCACAGTTCCCATTGTTATTAGTTTGCTATAATTATAGTTGCCCCTCCCCCAACGCTCCCTCCCCCTCCCACTCGTCCGACACCACCTGTCAGACAGGCTGCTCCATATCTGATGATTATGTAGATATTAGCATCTGGTTAACAAGTGCGCCGCGGCTAAACGGTGAAAATCTCTTGGCTCTTAGCGGGCGCAGCATAATTCAAATCAATTAACTGCATTCAAAAGACAGTTGCTGCTAAAAGTCGACACACATATTGAATTTAACTGTGACTCTTTGGCATATAGGAATCCGAAGTGACTGCAAAATATAGGCTAACATTTAGGAATTATTACCTTTAGGAACAATCGGTCGAAAGGTAGGTTCTAGTAGAAACCATTTTTTTTTTATTTTCAAGACATCTTCGCCGAACTCTCAGCATTGATTAGTTTTACTATATGCAAATTCCTATCGACATCGGGCCACTATATCATATAGCTGCCATAGCAAGGATCGGTTGAATAGTAAGTTCTTGTATGGAAAACTTTTTGGTCTTTTAAGATATTTTGATTAAACACGACATTTAGATATTTCACTATGCTCCCTTCATTTTTGTAAAATCGTATTTATTTCGGACTATTATATCATATAGCTGGCATAGAAACGATCGCTCGAATAGTAAGTTCTTGTAGAAGAAACTTTTTCGGCACATTTCTATTATTTTCCTATTTACTTCTATTATTTTCGCTGTACTTTTGTGCATTATAAAGAGGATGCCTCTGCAAGGGTATTAAATCTTCGGCGTGCCTTGTTTTTCAATAAATTCAGTTATCGACTTCCTTTTGATATTTTCACTAACTTTCCATAGATTCAATTCAAAAAATAACCCCATGTGGAATTGTAAACATTTTCAGTTCAAATACATGAGAATTGTCTTTATTTGCAGGCTCTTTTGTTTGCATTGAAAAGCGCCACATGAAATAAATTTCTACACAGATTTTCAATTTGGTTTTTCCAATTTTTTTTTTCTTTTTTAAATATACTATATTTTTCATGCGAAGGCTTAAAGAACAAACGAACGAAATCGAAAGAAAAATGAAAATGATTTTGCGAAAATCTTTTCTATATACAAAACTATATACATTTGTCTATGTGTGTGTGTGTGTGTGCATTGTATATTTTTCTTGGCATTTAAAAATAGAAAATTTTTTGTATTTTTCTTATTTAATGCTCGCGCCGTTTTGCCGTTTGTTGCTATTGTTGTTGTTTGTTGTTGTTGCTTTTGTTGTTGTTGTTTGTTGTTGCTTCGAGCATTCGACTTGTAAATCGTCGGCTTGCATTAGAAATGTATTTGTTAATGTTTTAGTGGTTTTTGCGGTGCTTTGGAAACCGCAGCGAGAGCACGAAATACGCCTTAACAAATGAAATCGCAAAGTTACCGACTAAGACATACTCTGTAATCAGTTCAAGGCGTGGGAATATACCCACAACTTTTAGAACGTGATCGAGAGAAGAAACGATTTCTGATTGTGTACTAGAAGCAACATATATACGAGATTCATATACGATATACAATATACGATATTCGATTTATGATTAACGTTTATCTAGGCTGACAATCGATATTAGTCAATCTCGTAAAAACGTGACAAGCTGTCGATAGTTTTAAGTAAACCTGATTTGCATATGGTATATAATAGAGTAATAATAATACTCCAAATTTAAAGAGGGGAGAGTTCTGAGACAGATGTCTTTCTACATGGGAACCTATATATTCAGGTGAACTCATATGCGATGGGATATGCCTCTCTGCTTCTAACATACATTTGCATAAAAACCCATTAAGCCCCTTTGCATTAGATGCAGGGTATAAAAATATGTAGCATGACGTCGACGCCAGCTGCGACGCTGACATCGCTGCTCGGTTGGGCGCAACAGTTTCGAAAATGCCCCCACCACCCACTTCTTTCCGCCTGCTGCTAGCACTCCTGCTCGGGTCGCGTGTTCGCAATCTCTGACGTAATGTGCTCCATTTATACATTTCACAGCTTATCGATACACATGCGAGTGCGCTGGGGGTGGTGGTGGTGGTCGGAAGGTAGTAAGCGGGTCAGGTAGTTAGTATACGCACCTGATGCAAAGCGGTGAGGCCATCAACATTGGCCGTGTTAATGTCGGCGCCCTGATTGAGCAGCTGGACGACCTCCTCCTTGTCGCCGGAGAGGCAGGCGGCGAGAAAAACGCAGCCGGAGCTAAACTTGATGCTGCGACAGTCCTCGCGACGAGGCGTGGGGGCGGCGCGATTTGTGTCCGACTCCTCCCAGCGCTTCAGCTGCTCGGCACGCTTCATCATGGCCGAGTTGTTGCGCACCTCCATTGTTGACATTTTGACGGATTTGCGGTATTAAATAACGGCGCTTGAGGCGCCAACAGTTGCAGTTTGAAAATCTGATGTGCGATTTGTTATTGTTGTTGCTTTTGTTATTGTATTTGTAGTTGTAGCTGTAGTTGTATTTGTATGTGTTTTTGTTGCTGTGTGCGATCGATACAAATTTGGCCGCTGCACCGAGAATTTTGATTTGCACTATTTATGGGAAAAGTTGCACGATTTGTTATTTTAATTTTTCATTTACGTTTTTTTTCTTTTTTTTTTTTTAGCACTGATCACTTACAAATCGCCTGTGTGAATGCTGCTGCTGCTTCTTCTAGCTAATTATTAATTTTCTATTTTCACTCGTTTCGTGCCTACTGCTTTGTGTGTTGTTGTTGTTGTTGTACTTTTTTTCTATACGCTTTATCAGCTAAAACGGGCGCAACTGCTTGGCGTGTTGTTTTTTTTTTTTATCGTGTTTCTTTTGCACTTCACTGCACACATACACACACACGCACACACTTACACGCTCCCGGGAGCACAGACACAGCCAGACAAGCGCAAGCACAAGAACACGAACACGCACACACACACACGCACACACACAGAGGCGCGCATGCAGGCTGACGCGTTCTCTCTGCCGTTTTTCTTAGACGCTTGCAAAACAATTTTCGTGTTGGCATTTATCACACTTCTTTTTTGATTCTTAGTTTTCGCTTAACATTAAAAACAAACATTGTATCCATTTGCGCGCTGCTGCTTCTGCTTCTGCAAAGAAAAGATTAAGGCAAAAGTTGCGCGTAAATTATTTTGACATAAAACACAACACTGCCGCCTGGGCTCTGCCGATGTTGACGCCGACTGCGACGCTAGGGCGCTGCTGGCATTTTGAATGCAGTTTAAGCACAGGGTTGTCGCACTGCATTTTTATTTTAGCACACAATACACGCACAGTGTCATAGAAGAACGTATTAATGTGAGCATTAAATAGAAAAGAAAGAAGGAACATTTGTTGCTGCTGTTTTTTACACTTTGTTTATCATTGCAAGTATGTTCGCGCGCTCGCTTATTCTCTCTGCTTTAGCCAAGCGCGCGCGCTCTCTCTCTCTCTCTTACTCGCTCTTCAACAGCACACATACGCAATATGCAACACTGTGTGTGTGTGTGCGTGTGTGTGTATGTTACCAATTTGACATAAATTCAACAGCCGCGACGCTGACGTCGGTACGCGGGTAAATAGAACGAAGAACGCAACTAAAGATGGAAACCGATATTTTTCACTCAATCTTTTCGCCTTTTTTTATATAATGGATATGTCGTCGAATTGTAATGCCTAGATATACAGCGCGTAATTATGTAAAGGCATTTAACAGCGCTCCATCCACACGCACACACACTTGCAAACGCGCAGCACACAAACACGCATATGCAAACGTAGAGAAAAATGTATAAATTGCAGTAAAAACTTTTTCACAGCACAACGGCATCGAAACCGAAACGCACACAGACGCACGCACTTACTTTGCTTCTCGGCACGCGCAAATTGTGGGCACCGTTTCGGGCTCAGTCGCTTAGATAGTGCAATGCACAATAATACAATTTATTGTGCATATTTCGGATAAATTTGATATTTAATTTCGTTCACCAATCCGTGCCATTCCGTGCGGCCACGACAAAGGTTAAAATGAAACTGATGAAAGAGAGGGACAGAGCAAACGGAGAGAAGAGAGCGACCCTGTCAGTGTGACATGTTGCTGCATCTGGTGAATGCTCGCAGCTGTTAACGTAAACTGTGAGTGTCGCCACATGTTGCCTCAACATGTACGCTCGATAGTCTTTCGGTGCGACGCTGCTATGCAACAGTGTGTACACATGGCAGAAAGTAAACAGCTAGGGCAACACTGCACCAGGGCTGCATGGCATAAATTCAAAAATACTTCTTTGCCGCCCTACTCCAACTTCGTAACGGTTTTCTTCTTTTACAATTAAACCAATGATTAAGAGAAATCTTGTAAAACTTTTGACTGCACCCCTGTTAGATGTACTCTCGCCCGCTCTGGCCAGCTACCCCTTGCAGCGCACACTCCCCAAACCCACCACCGCCCAAAAATATTGCGCAGTTCTCTATAGCTCAACTGTAGCTCTCGTTCCATCCCGCTGCGTCCATAGAAAGCAAAACAAAACTATGCAATAACAACACCTTTGGGCACGGGGCATGGAAAATGGGCTAGGCGAGCCGCACAATTTTTAGCGCTAGTCGCATCGCAACACTCAGACCCAACGGTCGTAAAAACAGTTTGCTGCATTACAAATTTCTAATTAACAAATTGTTCACTTATCAAGTAACAAAAAGAAAATAACAAATTTTTAGATAAGCGAAAGCTTTTTGGCAAAAGCTTTGTGAATTGGCGAAATTTTCCCAAAATAATTTTCCCTGATAAGATGCTATCATATCAGCAAGAATGAAGTCGGTGAGTGCGTAGTATAAGCTGTGCGTGTGTGTGTGCGTGTGTGCGTGTGTGTGTGTGGAGTGGTTGCCATTTAAAAGGATATTCGCATTTGGGGGGTGGTTCGTCTCTTCATTCATGCAGGCCAAAAACGCACGCAAAACCGTATTTCTCAATTTCATGCAATCTCCCACCCCAACCTCCCTCCCTTCCTCTCCCTCTCTCTCTCTCTCTCTCTCTACTCTCCCTTGCTCTCTGTCTATTGCCATCCCGCTTTGTCACAGCTATTTGCGTAATATTATCTTGCATTACATTGCATTTACATGACGAAACGCTCTGCGAGATGCTGAGCTCATTTCATTCATGCCGCCTCGCCAGCACTTGCCTCCCCACCCTCTGCCCCTGGCCCTGGCCCTGCCCACGCCATGGTGCTTGACTGACAGCAGCCCAACGCAGGCGGTGCCGCCCACCTGCCCACCTCCCGTGCAGCTGCTGTGCACGCAAAGTATTTTCTGGTTTCGTTTAGAATTTTCCTATTTTTAATTACCGCCCAATGTCGCATTGATTTGTAAGTTTATTGTTGCTGTTGTTGTTGTTGTTGTTGTTGCTTTAACACAGGTTTCTAATGGCGATTCCATCTGTTTGTTTTTTGTCGTATAATCAGCTGTTAGCTTATGCTTTTAGTTAAAAGTCTATTTACTATCTTGTTTAAAAGGCTTACACAGCTTATCTGTGCGGAATTCCTAAACAATGAGAAAAACTTTGGCATGTTAATAAATAAATGAGTCTCTTTTCAACTGTATATATCTATAAAATTCCAATTAGAATTCAATAAATTTCCATTGCAAAATATTTGTTTGTTTCTTTCGACATTTTAAAATATAATGTAGCTTTTATGGCCTGTTTATTTAGCCCATTTTGCTGCAAGCAGCTTGTTTTTTATCTTATCACCAATATGAGATAAGATTGGAACAATAATATATATTTTTCCAACTGATTTGGCAAGCATTAAAGCTGATAAATTATGCTTAAGTGACACTGGGTGCCAAAAGTGCCAGCAAATACAGCTGTACATTATTAATACTGCATAAGCATTGGTATTAAATACAGCAGCTGGTATTAAGACAAGCAGTTGCTCAAGCAGTGACTCAAGCAGTTGTGCAAGCAGTGTCACGATCGCAAGTGGTTGCTTACGTGCATTGTTTTTGTTAATGTGTCAGTACGAGCGTGTGTGTGTGTGTGTGTGTGTGTGTGTATCTGTGTGAGCTGTTCCTTTGTGTGCGTGAGCATTGATCGTCGGCCTGTTGCCAAAGGATCCTGCATCCTGCGCAGCCAGTCGGCAGCTGGCGAACGTCTTATGCCCCGTTCCTGGAACGCGCACACAATAAGCATATTTCTGAACAAGCAACAGAAACCGGGCCTGACAACAGCTGCGCCGGCTGCGCACCTTTTGATCCTTTTTGTGTCAGCGGCCAGCTGCTGGCACACGTCCTTAGGTCCTGCTCTGATTGAGGCAGGTAATTCCTCAAGCTGCATAAAGGGAGCACAGCAGATGTTGTAATAAAGGCAATCAAATCAATGTTGTTGTTGTTGTTGTTGTTGTTGTTTTGATACCTTTTCGCAATGAGCAAATGCAAAAATAAAAGAGAAATAATAAAATACAAAACTGGTTTCGCTGCATTTGGTTGTCAATTAAAAATAATAAAAAAAAATTTACAAAATTACTAAACACACCTGAGCGCATGCGCGCTGTGTTTGTATTTGTTGGTGACTAACAACAACAAAAACAACAACAACAAAAGCGAGTGCAACAACTTTAAAAGGCCTTGCAAGGCCGTTTTTATAGTAACATTTACCACAAGTTGCCCCAAGCTCGGCTGTTGCGATTTCTGTGCTCTTTGTGCTTGAATCCAATCTGCAAATTATGAAAATTGAAGCTGTTTCCAGTCCACAAATAGAATATATGTATGCAAGTACATGTATAAAATTTACATGGCTTGTCAAAAGGCGTCTAGACGCTGCCTCTTGTTTTGTTTTTGGAAAATGCGTCGCGACGCCTCGCCTGATAATTTTAGATGTATTTATTTATAAAGAGTGAATGCACACTTAACTACACACACATATATACAACTTTTATCAGCATATATATATATATATAGCAATCGTCTATTTGGCGCTACGTGCTGGTATTTCCTTTCATGTTTATACTTAGAAAAACCCGCAGTTAACGTCATAAAATGTGACTCTATACAATTTTTAATTATTTTTGATAAGCTTTACTTATTTTTAAGCAGAAATAATATATTTGTAAAAGTTCTTATCAAGATGTTATCAATCGTTTCCGCTTTTACCTATGATATGTAATACCCTGAACCCATTCAAAATGGGTGTAAGGGTATATTGTATTTGTGAAAAATCCAAATGTTTGTAACAGGCAGAAGGAACTATCTCCGACCCCATAAAGTAGCCGAGTCGATCTAGTCATGTCCGTCTGTCTGTCCGTCCGTCCGTCTGTCTGTCCGTCCGTATGTATGAACGCAAGGATCTCAGAACCTATAAGAGCTAGAGAGAAATTTTAAATGTAGGTGCTTCTAGTGCCTGCGCAGATCGAGTTTGTTTCCTATAATCGATAACTTACTCCAATCGATAAATATCTATATCGATTTCCTGTTTTTTGGGCAATTTTGGTAAATAATAAGAGCTACTACAGTCACCAAACTTGGCATATAGCTTCTAAAATAGAATATATATGCATTTGATGTTGGAAGAAGAGGGTTCAGGGTATAGAACCTCTTTCTTGTTCATTATACTTTCGTGATAAATTGTTTTACAGTGAAAATTGACTAGAAACAAGTTAAACAAATTATTTTCTTTGATAAGATTACGTTAAATTGTGACGTATCGGATATCGATAATAATAATCGTAATCGATTTACGCGCTTGCAAGCACACGTTTAAATAATTATGTTATGTTTACATGTGTATGTACACACATATACATCTGTATGTTGTATATGTATGTACTCAGTTTCCATCCTAAACATACATACATAAGTACATCCCCATATTTATCAGCTGCTGATATCGACATTAAAATAAAAATGGGCCTGGAATGCCTTCGGCTAGGTTGATTCGTGCCTAACTTCTATCGCGTTATTGATAGTATTTGCAGCTGCCAAACAGAAATGTACACAATTTAAGTCAGGCCCAGACAGGTAAGCGAGTGCAGTGGAGCATATGTGCATACATAACGCATATGTACACAGATACATGCATACATACATACATACATATACAAAAAAGCAGCTGCTGTCGACGCGCTGCCAGCGTCGGCGTCGGCTTTGGCTTCTGCGTCTGGAAGGTGGGCTGCAACGACGTGTCGTGACGGTGCATTGACACGCGCCAGAAGTCAAAAGTGGACGAGCCTGATGAATTTGCCAGGCGCATGCTCTGGCCGTGGCAAAAATCAATGATCCTGCGACTGTTGCAGTTGCAGCCGAGGCATCAAACGCACGACGCTGCTGGTTGGAAAAGGATAACCGTAGTGCAGAGTTTCCGTGTACGGTTGTACGATACGCCATCTTGCGTACTAATACTGGCCGTAGTAGAAGTTGTACGTGGTGTATTGGGGGCGTCATTGTGATGCCAGCTCGTTGTGGGCAAAACGAGCCTGGCTGGCAACCCGCTTATTGTATGTATGCAATACATACATATGTATGTATGTATGCATGCATGCATGTACATCTGTTTTTTATGTTTATACACTCTGATGCCAGCCACATAATGGCAATAGTTTTTACTGAAATATCACTTAAATGTTTTTGCTCTTTCACAAATTAACAAAATTGCAAGTTCCAAGAAGTGCAACCAAAACCATGCATGAAAAAAATTCCAAGTACCATCTGTATGTATGCGCGTGTGTATGAACATACATATGTATATATGTTTTCACTCTCTCTCTCTGTCCCTCGCCCGACGTGTGCACGCTCGCACGGGGTTGCTCTCGCCAAGTGTTGTCGCTCGTATCGTCTGGCTGTGTGTGTGTGTTTGTGTATGCGCTCGTTCGGTTGTCGCCGCTTCGGCGTTTTCAGTTCGCTCACGAAGCTCGAATAGTAAAGAAGCCATGGATACGCAAGCGCTACAATATTAAGCACTTAATTTATGCATTTAAAAAACTACAAAAAGAAAAGTGTTTTGATTTCGGTATTGCGGTCTTCAAACTAAATTGTGATATTGGTAGTATTTTAAAAGCAACAACAACAATAAAAGCAACAAATTTCAAATAAATACAGAAACATCTGCGTCTCTGTGTTTGTGTGTTTTCCGTCAACGTCAATTCGTCGCTCGGAAAAGAAAAATCAATACCGTGAAAAGAAATATACATTTGTCTCGAACCCAAATAGAACTTAATAGATCAAAAACACAAAGAAGTATCAGGGGAACTTGAGTTTTTCAACAAAAAGAGAAAAATTGTCAAGGTGAGCAGAAGTTGTGTTTATAAGGCATAATATTAAATCAACCTGAATTTAGATATAACCCCAAAAATATAACGAAAACGTGACATCACAAAGCTAAAGCTGTTTTTTTCATCTATGTATGTATGTATGTTGTTTGCCTGCACAATGTACATTAATTAAAGCTACAGCTTACAACACACACAGCACACACACACATATATATAAAACCCCACACGCGCGCACACAATCAAGCGAGTCGAGTATTTTGTTGTGCACATGACAAAACTTACAAAATCATTTTGCTTAATAGATCAATATTAATTATATAATCGTTTAAGGGCTGCAATTAATAATGTCTATATATATGTAAAGTTATATAATTTAAGTGTTAAAATCATAAAACGTATATCTCAATAAAAAATTGCAGTATGTGCATGCAGCGCAAACCGCTTTTGACAATTTTGCCGGTTGTGCTATGCTGTTCCCGTTTTGGGTCTCTCGCTCTCGCACATTCGTTCAGCAGCCAAGAGGCAAGAGTTCGTATTCGTAAAAAGATGGCGGCTGCAGAGTTGCTAAACGCTGCTGCTGTTGATTTCTTAAAAGTTTGTTTACTAAATTTCTGTTTTTATAATTACGAATTGCTCTTTGTGCAATTTGTTTACCATTAAAATTAACCAAAACATGACACACATTGTTTACGTTGCCTTTCGAGTTGTTTCATGCAAACATTTTTAAACTATGACAACCCTAGCAAGCTCTCATTGTGAATGATATCAGCGCTGCTGGCGCTTAAATCAACATATTCGCAGTACTATGGAAGAGAGTGTGTGAGTAATTGAGAGAGGGATTCTGAAATGAACACAATGTCAGACTTATTTGTTTTCGTCGGAATTTTCGAGTACGCCATTTTTGGCGCTGTTATCTATATATTTATATATTTAACCGATGACTATAAAATGCAAAACAATGTTGCCCAATTTTTTTGCAGGCTAGAAGGTCAACTTGTATGACACACACGCTCGCTCGGCTGTATATCTTGTTCTAATTAAATTAATTGTGCTGCGTATTTATGTACATATGTATACTGCTGCCTGCCTTCTATGTGTGTAGTAGTTTTTGTCTATCTCTCTTTCTGCTAGCTTAGATCATCATTCATCATAATAAACAAAGTTTGTGAGTTGATGACGCGTTGTTTCTGCTGGCTCCCCACTATTTACTACATCCGATGAGTCCGCATACATACATATACATACATACTTCCTTTACGCATACACATAATCCCTATAGCCAGACCGAGCATATGTATTTGAGTAATTTTTTTTGTTTGCTTTGTTCGTAATTTCCGCTCGCAACGGAAGTGGTGCACTCATGCGTACGCCGCGTTTCACTCTGCAACAAAACACACATAAGCCATGGCCAAGGCGGCCAGTCTGCCTCTCGCTGCATTGTTGCCACTTTTCACAAAAGACTTTTGCAGTTTTATGCTTCATTGCTTTGAACTCTTGCGCTCAATTCGCAGCAAGAAGCAGAAGAAGCAAAATACAGCAACAAAGAGAAAGTATCAACTCGAGCTTTTTCAGCTCAACTTGAGCAACTCTTGATTGTTATTGTTATTGCTGCAACAACAACAACAACAACAACAATAAGAAAAACACCCGCACCCAGTCGACAACGACGCCTACACACAGAGCACAGGAGGAGGAGGAGGAGAAGAAGGGGCCGACTCTGGTGGTCGTCCTGCTGGTGATGGTGGTGCCTGGTAGAACAACGCCTACGTTTATTTATCCAACTGAATGCTGAGTAGATTTTCCACGCTTTTCACCAATAAAACGATAGATAACTTCGTTAATAAACAGTTCTCACGCAGAGCCCAAAAATCGAAAAGAAATGTTCTCTAAAGTAGGTTTTTTTTTTTTTTTGTCTTTCTAAAGATTTCGTATTGTCTTTTGTTTGTCCTTTTGCTATCTCGCCAACAGACGTGACGGCAATCAGCATGAATGGACCTGGACCGAGGCGCGGCGGCCCTTGAAAGAGATATAAATGAGAGGAAGAAGAAGCAGATGAAGTTTAAGAACAAATGGCAGCAGAGATGTAGGAAAATTACTTTGGAATTCCCGGAATTTTCTAGGCTGAATCATCTCGAATGCGAGACGACCTTTGAGTCTTGGCCGCGTGAAAAACTACCTTTCATCCATTCCACACACTAACGAGGCGCATTTAAAGCGTGTGTGTGTGTGTGTGTGTGTCTGTCTGTCTGTATCTGTGTGTGTTTGTGTTTTTCATGAGAGGGTACCCGCATTCCAAGTCTCATAGATGCTGGCAGCCAGATAGTAGGAGAGATGCCACAGTACACAGCACGACTTGACTTTGGGTTTAAGAACAATTTTCTTTCTGTGGAAATGGCGACGGGTCTTTGAACTGAGCCGCCGTTAGGATTTTGGGCAATCGATCAATGTGCGAGAGAGGGAGAGCGGGAGAGCGGGAGAGAGAGAGAGAGAGAGAGAGCGGGTGCCAAGCTGCGCTTTAATGCATTCCTCAGCGGCTTGCAGTCGGCTCAAGCGCATTTATTATGATTACGGATGATATTGCCCTTTGTTGGGCATTCTTTGAGTACACGGACAACCAGGCAGCCAGTCAGCCAGCATCTTGTGTATTTTATTATTATTATCGACGGCGTCGTCGGCGGTCGCTTCGTTCTCGTTCTTGTTCTTGTTCTTCTTGTTGTTTTTGTTTTAGTTGTTGTTATTGTTGGCTGCTGCATTTCTTGGAAGGACACCGCACATACACGCACACATCATATTCTTTGTGAGTGTGCGTGTGTGTGTGTGTGCGTGTGTTGGCGTCGGTCTCTGCATCATCTCCCCCCCATGTCCTCCACTTCGCTACTTCAAGTTCTGCGTGACGACGACTCATGCTTGTGTGTCCCCCTCCCCCTCTCTCGCTCCTCTCCTGCCTGCTGTTGCTGCTCATGTTGCTCCACTCGTTTCGTATCTGGTATCACCGCATTCCAATCTCAGTTTAGAAGACAACAACAACAAGAGCCAAGAAAAAAGAATGGTAGTGTTTATAATAGTTTCCCACAGTCTGAGGTTACACTCGCACACACACACACACACACACACACACGCAAGCATTCACACATACAGAGTAGAGACCTTTGCTGGCTGGCTGGCTGGCTGGCTGGCGGTTACCTTCACTTACAAGACAGCATTGAAACTCCAATCCCAAGCCCAGCTTTATAGTGTTTAGCTTGGTTTCCAATCAGAAAACCAGCCGCGGCAGCCAACTCCAGTTGTTTTTGTTGTTGTTGTTGTTTTGTTTGCATTTTGCGCAGAGTTTGTAGAAAAGTTGTTCGACTGCATTCCAATGCGCGCGCCTCGTTGGGTTCTCGTTCGGTTTGCTTGTTGCATGGGGCGCACTGTTCCTCTCTATGTCTCTGTTTGTTGCCTTGCCTCCTGGGCTGTTGCTGTCTGGCCTTTGATTATGATTTTTCTTTGCTTTGCACTCTTTCCATGTGTGCGTGTGTGTGTGTCTTTCCACTTTGGTATTTTCTGGGTTCTCATGTCATTCATGCGCCCGGGAGGCCCTTTTCCTATAGATGCTTCAACGTTGTCAGTTCACATTTGTTGCTGTGCTCAGGCGCATTCACGGCATATGCTTAGTTATTTTATATTATTTTTTAACTTCACTTATGTTAGCGCTTAACACTTGCGAGTTTTCAATTGTATTGTTTCGTCGAGTTTCGTTAAAATAGAGTGCACTAATGCAGCCCTGGTAAGTGTTTTTTCATACATGATAAATGCAAATGCTTGACATATGGCAACACTATCGAGCTGATTGCATTGAACTTTTCCTTGAATTTCCTGCTAAAAGCAGTGCATTTTAAAAAAGAAAGAAACAAAATGCCAAAGCGTTTACATTACAATTGTTAATGGGCATGCATTCCGCAGCAATAAAAGCAACAACAACAAACAGCTATAATTGCAAGCTTCTGCACTTTGTACTTGGCAAAAAGAATCATCAACAGCAGCAACAACAACGGTGCATTTGCAATTGAAGCAAAACATCAGCAGCAGCAGCAGCAGCAACGCACACAACAACAACAGAAACTGCTGCATACAGCCAGCAGCATCTCGAAGCTATCATCTTTGTCTGTGTGTGTGTGTGTGTGTTGCTCAAGCTGATGCTGTTGCTGCTGTTACTGCTGCCCGTCGTTGCTCCACTTCAAAAACAATGCGCAATCTCTGCCGAACGCGCAGCAACCCTAGCAGCAGCGCAGCGTCGGGCATTTGTAATTTACAATTGTGCTTTTGTTTTTGTTTTATGCTTTTATTTATTTTGCATTTGGTGTGTGCGCATTTGTTTCCTTTTATTTTTATTTTTTTTTTGCACTCTTTCTTTGCACCCAAGCGGTGCATTCGTGTGGAGCCTGCTTGTGTGTGTGTGTGTGTGTGTGTGTGTGTGTGTGTGTGTGTGTGCGTGTGTGTACGTGCATAGTTGTTTTTCCATTGATGGTTTTGGGTGCCTATTGCTATCCCAGTCTCGCACGCTGCTCGCCAATGCAGCGCACTCGTCACTGCATTTATGCTGCACTGCTTTTTTTATGCTGTGGGGCGCTGCTTGCGGCTGCCGCCATAAAGTCGTTTGACTGCATTCCATTAAAACTTTCTCACAGTCGGCTACGGCTACGGCTACGAGAGTTGCTTGCTGCACGACGAGTGCTTGGCACCGCCAGCCCCAGCCCCAGCCTCAGCTCCAACCCAACCGACCAACCACCCAGAGTCGTCCCTCTCCGCTTGCCCCTCTGCCTCAACAGCAGTCGTTGCCCCGTCGTGCTGCAATTGTTTGGCGTGTTTGGCTGGTTTGCGGCCTGGCTTGGCGTGGCTTGGCTTTAAATTTGGACTTTGTACAAAGTCCCGACACGGCGTTCGTGCCTGCTGCTTAGCCTCCTGCCCCCCTCCGCCATGCCTTACGGCTGAATCGCCTGCCGTGAAGTAAATGTCGAAAAACGGCTTACAATCTCTTTAACTACATGAAAAAAGACCACCGAAACAGTTCAACGCCGATGGCATAAGTAAAGCTATCGTTTAGACATATCTATATGTGTATTTCTATGCATATGTGTGTGTGTACACACTTGCATTAATCGATTGAATCGCACGCGTTATCGTTCGAATGCGCCTCACAACACTGAACTGATTATTATTTTAAATTGCTTTCGCAAGTCTAAAGGTGAAATTTTAGAAATTGAACAATACGAATTTCCTTTGAAGTAAATCATATTCACTTTAAGTACTCGAATAGAAGGGCATATAGAAATTGCAATTTCCGAGAAATAAGTAAGCATTTTCGTTAATAATGCAATTCCCTTTAGATTAGGACAATTGTAAAATGTCAAGCACAATATGCTTTATACAATCGCCATATAATATATATGTCAATTTCTATTATATTGCTTTGGCACTTGATCTTCTGTTTTGTTCGCTTTGTTTCAAGCTAACGCTTTTCACTATCAGCTTGTTGTTGTTTGAACAATTATTTTAACTATTATTTATTTACGATATTCGTAAAATTGGCATTTTGCTGCCTTTGTTGTCGCCGGCTCATCACACACTCAGCACACATTTAGTCCAAAGTACTATCTTACTTTTGAAACGACCCGACCAGCTGTGGATGATGCCCATCGCCCATCTATTGCAGATTCGCATCGGCGCAGTTGCAGCAACAACTCGCGGTTGTAAGATTGCGTACGATACGCTACGTTTGCAAGGATTTCAGGATACAAACCCAGAAACCACCCTTGCCAATGACTTGCCACTGGTGCGAGCGAGAGAACGTTATGCTACACAGTGCTTAGGGGTGCGTTAAAGTTAAAGCTTGTTGTTGTGGCATCAGCCTCCGCCTCAGTTTCAGTTGCTTGAACTGCGTTTCGGTTTTTCAACCTAGCCATAGTGCAAAGTACATTTAAACGTGGCGCTATTGATTTGCAGAGGTACTCCTCGCCTCTGCTCCTATCCGACCGATAGCGTTATCTAGCTTTGAGTCTATATTAATGTGCCTTTCTTTTCTGTTCTTTACAGTGGGAATTAAAGCAACAAAGCATAGCTCCAGTAAGCACTTTATCAAGATGGCAAATGTAGCAAGTCCGCCAAGGTATATACCTTATGGATCCGTGACAACGGCAACAACAACAACGACAGCAACAGCAACAACATTGGATCAGGTGGACAACAGCACGACAGCCACGCAGCTGTTGAAGGCCTTCGTTAACAGAATGAATGACAAATACAATCGGGAGGATGAGCGCTTAAGGACATTCGATAACTGGCCCTTGTCCTGGCTGGATAAGCACGCATTGGCACAGACGGGCATGTTCTTTACCAACGAGGACGACAAGGTCAAGTGCTTTTTCTGTGAGGTGGAAATCGGTCGCTGGGAGCGCGAAGATCATCCCGTTCAGGAGCATCTGCGCTGGTCGCCCAACTGCCCGCTGCTGCGACGCCGCAACACCAACAATGTGCCCATCAATGCGGATGCACTGGACCGCATACTGCCACCCGTCAGCTATGATGTGTGCGGATCCAACGATACAGCCGGCCTGGATGTGCGCGAGAACTCCTACTCCGAGGGCCGTCAGTCGATACAGTCGACGGGCGTGAATACCTCGCCGCCTTTACGACTCGGCGGTGTTGGCTCGCCCATGGGCATGCAGGAGCCGTGCAGCCGGCCCGCCGGCAACGGCAATGGTGGCAATTATTTTCCCGAGTATCCAGAGTATGCCATCGAGTCGGCGCGTCTGCGCAGCTTCGAGGATTGGCCGCGCAACATGAAGCAGAAGCCACAGCAGCTCGCCGAGGCGGGTTTCTTTTATACTGGCGTCGGGGATCGCGTGCGCTGCTTCAGCTGCGGCGGCGGGCTCAAGGACTGGGACGACAACGACGAGCCCTGGGAGCAGCATGCGCTCTGGCTAAGCCAGTGCCGTTTCGTCAAGCTCATCAAGGGTCGTCTGTACATCGATGCGGTTGCCGCGGCAGCGCAGGCCGCCAAGCCAGCAGCAGGCCCAGCAGCAGCAGACGTCGAGAAGCAACAGGAGCAGCAACAGCCGGCGAGCCAGCACAGTTCAAGTCCAAGCGTCGATTCCCTGAGCAGTGCTCCGGTTCCAGATGCTCTGGCTGCACCCTCTGCAACTACAGCAACAGTTGCTGCAGCTGCCTCCGCCGCCTCAGGTGGCGACGATGTGGCGCCCACGTGTGCCGCACGCATCTACGACAAAATACTGGCACAGGGTTGCCCAGAAGGTGCCGCATTGGCCAGTGTAGCCGGCGGCGTGACCGTGCCCGAAGAGAAGCTCTGCAAGATTTGCTATGCGGCCGAGTACAATACGGCATTTCTGCCCTGCGGCCATGTGGTGGCATGCGCCAAGTGCGCCTCATCCGTAACCAAGTGCCCGCTCTGCCGAAAACCCTTCACCGATGTCATGCGTGTATATTTTTCTTAAATGGCATTGACTCCATCCTAACCACTGCGCGTCTGCACCACACCAACACCACCACCAGCGCGGCCCAACCCGGCCGCTGTAATATACAAACACACAAGCCCAAAAGTGGGTAACGGCCAGCTGGATTGTCGGCCACAATTTGGCTGGCCGTTGCACAAAAAATACAACACACACACACGACACGCGCACATAAAATGTAAAGAATAGAATATAAATAAATATAAAATATATATATATATAACTAATAAAGTTGGATATCCCATATGCTTTAAGTAACAACAACGCGTTCACATATATCGTTGTACATTGAAGTATATAAAATTAAATTTTATAATTTAACACAAATAAAAAATACATTGAAAAAATGCACACTGTACGTTTGCTTGTTCTCTCTACCCCTATTAATATTATAAATTCTATGATATAATACAGTATTTATGTATAAACAAATAACATATTATAGAGCTCTTTACTTCAGATGGAAACAAAACAAAACCCGTTGTTTTTATTTACGTTGCAGTCGCTTTAGCCGCTACGTGTCCAATTAAACAAAATAGAAAAATAAGAAAACCCAACAAAGGCGCCGACGCGTCGCCCACATGGCCTGGGCCAGACTGGCTGGGAATTCGTGGAGGCGTCTGCCCACAAGCCAACATGCAGATCAGTTTCATATTAGCCGACAATTGGCTGGCATAGAGTTCTGAGGATCTGAGAAAAGAAAGCTGTGCTTTGTCCAGATTCTATTATTACTCGAGATTTGAGTGCCGTAGAAATCTAGAAATCTATTCGTTAGTCATTTCCAGGCGTTCGATTCCTGCACACGAGTATTACTTGAGTATTGGTCGGAATCTAGATCTGCATCAAGATTTATTAGATGCATTGGGTAAGCTATTCGATAGGAACGCTCGCATAACACCGTGCTTAGCCACCACACATAAACTTTATTTTATACAATCAAGTCTATAAATGGTTTATTATTCTGAAAAGTTGTTATGTTCACCACAGGATATTGACTCAGTTGGACCACAAAATTGTTATTCATATGGTACACGTTCAGGTTTCCCCTAAAAGGGACCTAAGCTAATATGACTAGAAGGTAATATGACTCAGAATTCCAATTAATATTTCTTTTTTACTAGGAACATTCGATTAAAACATTTGCCATAAAAGCAGCTGAGACAAAACTCGAAACTAAGGCTCAATAAATATGAAGTCCAATCATTGCACGTGTCTAACAATATTTGCCAGATGCACAATTTTGGCTAAATTTCTAATCTAGCCCGCATTTTGTATGTGAAAATATTGAAAGCTTGCAATATACTCAGAACAACGGGCAGCTGCGTAAGAAACTTAAAAAAAGAATTAAGGTTTGAGCCGGAGCCGCAGCTGGAAAGTTGCTGGTTCGAACCGTGCGGCGAACAAGCAAATCGTTTATTTGCTTTCTTCAACAATTATCAACAAAGTGAGTAACATTTCAGCGAGTTTATTCAGTTAACAAAGCAACTGGCGTTTCTCAATTAGCAAGCGGCCTGGGATCTGTGTAAGCTGTTATCAGCTGGCTTGTGGCCGTGTTTAATCGCTGCGCACTCGCCCCAAATGCAAAGTTCATTCAACTGCAGCAGCAAGCCAGGCCAAGCGAGTGCATTGCAGTTGAATGTTGTGGGGCGAAAAGTGTTTTGGCATTTCAAGAAAGAATCTCAACATAGACATAAGTTTGCAGCGCATTTCAATTAGTTGGCTGCATTCATATTTAGCCAGATCCGGTTGCGGCTCTTGGCCAAGTTAGTTGGGCTGCCAGTCTGTTGCCAACCCAACTGTTGCGCTACAACAGCTGGGCACTTGAGCAATCGCAGCCCGTTTATCATCCTAGAAGTTGCATCATGCATCATACATTGCGCGTGGGCTGTATCAGCAATTAATAATTGAATCAGAATCGAATGACTCAAATGCTTTTAAATGGATTTGGTGACTGGTTCTATTATTTGCCTGTGGCCATGTTTTAAAGAGAAAGAAGTCCAAAGCAGGTGAAAAGCAATCAATCGATGCAGCACCTGGAGTATATGCATTGACTATATGTAAATCAATGTTCCACTTCTGCCTTTATTATATAAACACAATGTTGACCTTAGTCTGTGTGCTGCTTTTAATTAACCATTAAACGAGTATCTGGGAGCTGCACATGCCAAGCTGAAGGTCTTGAAGCTGTATTTAAGCCGGATTAAGTGGATGGCTTTTAAGAAATATGAAGAAATTTCCAGCCAGTTTTTATCAGTGTAAAATTATAGACCAAGTTCCATTAAAACTTTGTCTATATGGGCTCCAAACTAAGTCAATCTATTATGGTTTTCGCATTCGTGTTCGAATATTAATGCCCTCTCGAATGCATTCGCTATATTTAGCGCGTTTTTTTTTTATTGTCACGCAAATGAGATTCGGGTGACGAATTACGTATACGTGAAAGTATTTGTATAAACAGCTGTAGCTACTTTATTATGAAAATATATATAAATACATATATTTTCTGCGCTCCAGTGATGCCCTTTTAGCATTATTTGCAACAGATGGGCATCACTCTTGAGCGGCTGCAGCGAATGTCCTATTTTAGGTCTATTTTTGGTATCTTTCGCATTTATTTATGTTTTTCTTGAACGATCTTTTAAAAATAAATAAATAAAACGTTGTGTCATTTTCTTATTTAAAGGCGCCTTTATGTGTTTCTTATGAAATATGATAAGGCATGGTTATAATCAATTTTATGTAGAAAATAGTTTAGAATTCACCTCATTTTCTACGAATTTGGTATCTAGCGTTGCTGTTGTATCTATTGTTAGCTCATTGAGTAAACAGAAATTGCGCAATCGAAAGCTCGCTGCGAAATAGCTTAATTGCATAGCTTTGTTGTGCATACCTTTAAGATGATTTCATGGAGTTCAATTTATTTCGAAACTTTTGAGATGTGCAATTCTCTTTTTAACAAGTGGGAGTGCACCAGTCGGGAGTGCCCGACTAGGGGATACCCTGAACCTACTGCGACCAACACCAAATGCAGCTTGCACTAGGGTGAAGGAAAGATACTTGATATGACACTAGCTCTTAAAATCTAAAAAAAAAGCAGGATTTCGATATCGAAATTTATCGATTGCTTAGGGAATAGGGAATTATCGATCAACAACTCGAACTATGCAGGCGCTTGGAGCACCTGCGCTTAAAATTTCCTTCGCTAGCTTTTAAAGGTTCTGGGAACGACGCGTTTATACATACGACAGACGCACAAACGGACGGACAGGCAGACGGACAAACAGGCGGACAGAACATGTATATATACTTTATATGGTCGCAGATGCTTATCTCTGCCTGTTACTTACATTTTCACAAGCCAACATACCTTATTTACCAATTTCCACTGGGTTCAGGGTATGCATGGTTCCTGGTATTTGTATTCGTCATGTTTTGTACTAATGTTGGAAAACTATCAAATTATTTCACTTATTTTTCTGTGCACTTTTTTCCACAATGCGTGAACTGCTTTATTCAAAAACTAGTAAACTGCTTGCGGCTACACTGCTTGTCTGTCCAACTGCTTGGTGTGTGCACTGACTAAACGTAACGCGTTGCCAGCTATATGTAAATTTGTGAGCTGTATTTGTTGCCACCCCTGCGAACGTTTTAAAAAATGATCTATTAATATTAAAAGAATATCCAATATATATATCGCTCTACCGTGGAGTCAGTATTTCCATATTGACAAATCTGTCATTGGCCGCCAGGAAGGCCTTGTGTGTATTCACTTGGATGGCCACATCGACCAGGTTGGTATTGCTGAAGTAGTCCATGGCCACGACATTGGCATTGAGGCCCCACGGGCCGTTTAGCCATTGATTTACCTTTGGATTGATGAGTGCGGCACGCTCCTTGGCCGTTTGCAGCTTGTGCGTATTGAGCGCCTGTTCGATGCTCTTCACGGCATGAAAGATCCAGCCATCGTCCTGCACGGGCGACTCCGGCTTCCTGCTGAACAGCAGACGCATATAGTCCAGTGTTTGGGAGATGTTCATATAGCTGGTGCTGAAGCGCTGCCAGGGCGTGCACAGCAGCACCGACTCTGCAAAGAAACTCGGATAACTATCTGTAAGATATATTAAATGTATCGGCTTACCATTCTCCGGATGGGGCAGTTCCTGTGTGGGAAACAGCAGCAGCACCTGCCGCCCTCCGTTGCGCATATCATCAAAGCTGCGATCCGCACAGTGCTCATTGATGCTGACATTCCGCTCGTAGACCACTTCGCCCAGCTCCTGGCGTATGAGATGGTAGAGGCTGCTGTATATCTCCGGATGCTTGTAGAAGCCAATGGGAAACGAGCTAAAGTCCAGCACGACCACCTCGTTCGAGAGCTGGACAAAGCGGCGCACGTCGCGAATGACATCGATTAAGGGATTTATGAACATGTTCTCGTTAACCACCCAGAAGTTGTCCGCTTCGCTGCTGCTGTCCACGTTGCGATAGCTGCAGATGCACTTCCGTAGAGTTTCATATACTGGGAGTTCACCTCACATTCCGAAGCTTACCCCACGCTCAGATCCAAGTAGCGTATGCCAAAGACCAGCTGAGACCAAACATCGAAGTGCTGTGCCACAAGATAATCCTTGACCAGCAGCGACTTGGTCTTGCTGTAGTTGGTTATGTAGGCGCCGGAGGCGTGTGTGCCCGGCAGGAAGAGACGCTTGAGCGGCATGCTGGCCGCATCCTTGAGATGGGCCAGCCAATTGGGCTGAATCTTCAGGCAGTCAATGGTCAGCAGTTCGGTGCCATTATAGCTGGCCACATAGTACGGCAGGCACTTGCCCTTTGGATACCTGGTCGCCGTTTTCTGCTCATCGCCGGGCCGATTCCAGCCGCCCGGAAAGTGCAGCTTGCCCAGCTTAATGGGCGTCAGGCGCTTGCCTGTCCGATTGCGTATGCCGTCGATGCGCAGCTCCGGCTGAAAGTTCGACACTGACGGATCCTGCCGATAGATGCCCACCCATTCCGGCGGCGCAAAGCAGTCGGGTCCCCAGTTAACCTCCAGGCAGGCCTCGGTCAGCGTTTTGCCCGCCAGCGAAATGGTCAAGAATATGGGACAGCTGGCTGTGCAGCTGGATTAGCATACCGATCTGCATGCCTGGATGCCCCAGGCCGGGCACTGGCCCACTCACCTGCGAGCGGTGCCACCAGCAGGTGGCAGTGCAGCAAAAATAAACCAATTTTCCACATTCCTTCCATCAAGCTGACACTTAATTTTCTTCTCTCGACGTTGGCGTGCTGATTGCACGACTTCTGGCGCTCAATTGAAACGAGCCACGAATTTGTTGCTGCCTTTGTGGCTCAATTTGCACCGCCGCACCACACGAATTGCGCCCACAATGCCCCAGGCGGAGCGAATTCTCGGAATCTCGACTTTCGTGAGCTTAACCCCGGCTGTGGCACTTGCCGCATTCAATTAAGTCCAATGAATTAAGAGCTGCTCGGCGAGAGCTTTTCTAATGTCAAGATGGGCAATTGTTCTCTAATATTTCAACTAAACTTGACTTTGTTCGCATTAAGTTCCGGTTCATTTTCTAAAATAATTTCGAATAATTTTAAAATATTAAAAACAAGAACATTTTAAAATAGAATAAACTAGTTTCGGTGCACTTGAACAAATAATTTCTAATTTCGAAACCGAATTGAATTCGAAACATATTAAAAACAATTTAATTGCTAAGAAAAAATTAAATAAAATATTTTTGTATTTATTTGTTGTTGGTTTTGATTTTTTCCAGTTGGTTTTTCTTGATTTTTCTCGGTTTTCCTTCACTTGCTGGAAACTGTAACAATGCAATTTTCGCTCTTGACTTTTCTTCTTCTTTTTTCCTTGTTTTTTTTTGTTTTTGTTTTTTTTTTTAAATCGAACTTAGGCATATTTTAAGCACAACAATCCTTAGACTAAACTTTAACCGGTTCTGTACAGGCTAATTGCTAATTGTACTTAACAATATTTGATTACATTTATTCAACTAAAGTTTAAATAATAATAATAATAATAATAATAATAATGATAATATTCGAGTTGTTCGGCTTGACAGTAAATTGCGTAAATTGCAATTGAATTGAATTTGTTGCATTTTTTTTTTAAGTACAATTATTATTTTGAACGGAATGCGTGCATTTAGCATAACTACAACAACAACAAAAAATTGTTGCTAATTTACATAAATAAATAATGTTAAAAGTATTTGATATTTGATTTATATTTGCACAGGTACAAAATGCAATATGCTATTCAAGGCAGCTGTCTAATAATTTCTCATCGTTTTGCTTGAGGTAGGTAATTTGTAATTTGTAATTTGTTATTTTTAATTTGTAATTTGTTATTAATAATTTATATATTTGCATTTAAAAAACAAACAAACGAACATCAAACTCGGCAAACGGGCAATTGAAAAAGTCTAGACGCTCTGCAAAACAGCTCCTGTCTTAAGCTTAACGAGCTAATTATAAATAAATTATGAATATTAATTACAAAAAAAATATATTTATATATATATATATATATAAACTATATATTTAATATAGAAAACATAAAAAACAGTCTTGTGGTTGCATTTGTGTTAGTTTCTCGTTGCGCAGAAATGAATGCGAATGAATAAATACGAATACGAATACGAATACGAATACGAATACGAGTACGAGTATGTGTGTATGCGTATGAGTGTGCGTGTGTGTTCGTGTGTGTGCGTGTGTTTATATATATAAATAAATTCTGCTTAATAACTGGGTACTATGCGCATGTCTTTTGCTTGATTTAGGAATTGGAATAGCTCCGATATATATATATATCAATTTGTGTATATATATATATGTGTGTGTGTGTGTGTGTGTGTGTTTATATGCATGTATGTACAATGTGAGGGTCGGCTATACAGTCTATGGCTATATCTATATACAGGCCAACTATTTACAGTATTTCTGGCTCAACTCAGCTCTAGCGTTTCAGCTCACCTGCTGCGTCAGCAGGTTGACCAGCTCGGTGCGTTCCATGTTGTTCAGGGTGTGCATATCGACGCCGAGTGCGGCGGCGACGGCCTCGATGTCCAGGCCGAAGGAGGTGAGCAGCTCGAGAAAGCGCATCTCCTCGCCGGTCAGCGGATTTGTTAGCGTGGGGCACGAGTGGTTGCACTGCGGCCAGCTGCAGCGCTCCAGCAGACGCAGGCCGCACTTTTCCGGCACGCGCGGCACCCGCTGCCGCAGCGGATTCGGCTTCGGCTTCGGCTTGGAGGCGCTGTTCGAGGCGCGACGCTTTTGCGGCTCGCTCGGCTGTTGCTCCTGCTGCAGCTCCGGTTGCTGCTGCTGCTGCTGCTGCAGCTTGCGTCGCTGCTGGCGTTGCTGCTTACGCTGGAGCTGCTGCTCTGCGCTCAGTTGTTGGCGGCGACGCTGCTTGCGCTGCTCGTTGTTGTTGTTGCTCTTGCTGCTGTTGGCGTCCGCCTCGTTTTCGCGCTTGCGCTGCAGCTGCTGCTGCTGCTGGCGGCGTCGCTGCTTGCGCCGCTGCCGCTCCTGACGGCGACGCTTGCGCTCCTCGCGCTGCTCCTTGCTGAGATGATTGCGCTTGCGCTGCGGCTGCGCCACATTGTTCAGCTTCTGTGCCCGCTGGCGATGTCGCTGATGTCTTTGGCTATTGGCATTGGGATGTGGCAGCAGCTGCTGCTCCTGCAGCGCCATCGTCGTCGCCTCCGTAGAGCGCTTCAGCTTGTCGTGGCGCTTGCGTCGCTGCCGCGTCGAGTGCTCCCAGCAGCGCAGCGCCGCAGGCAGCGAGATGTCGTCGATCTTGATGTTCAACCAGTCGCGCTTGGAGAGCACCGCATGCCCAATGCAGCTGGGCGCAAACACGGCGCTCACATTGTCCAACGAGGAGCGCAACGCGCCGCCCATTTCGTGTATATAATTCCATTGCTGGGGCGTAACGGGCGCGCCCACATTGTCGGCGCGCATTTGGGCCTCATCGAAGAGCCACTGGAACACAAACAGTGGAGCTGGAGGGGATCGGTTAATTAGCACCGGCACAAACGGAATATTCACTTTCACAACTCACTTTTTAGCGTGGGATACAGCCGATAGCCGAAGTAGCAGCGCCACGGCTCGGTGGGATGCGCCTTGACGCAGTCCTCGGGCAGCAGGCCCTGCCACAGCTTCCAGCCTTGACGCACCGCCTCGCTGGATGCCACCGCGGATGGGGTGTATGGTTCGCGGTCCAAAAACCAACCCGAATCGCTGACGCCACGCACCGTCACCTGCAGCTTGCGTTCGTTGACCAGGAAGTCGCGCACACGATCCAAGTTGAGCATGACACCCAGGCCTCCGGCGGAGGAGCCCACCAGCAGCAGTTCGCCGCCGGCTACACGACCCAGGCCCAGCGGTATCAGATCGGCAATCACCTGACGCAGTATCAGGGCGCCCATGAAGCGCCAGTTGTTCTCGCGATCGCGCGTGTCCGGCTCGGCGCGTGTGCCCGACCAGGAGTCGCTGCTGCAGTAGGGCACCAGCACATGATTGGCATTGTGCCAGTAGGGATTCTCCTCTGCGTGCGGCGACAGTATGCCACCAACTATAAGCGATTGGGCAGAGGCATTAGCTTGGGCTGTAAGCAACGCGGATTCGTTGCGGAAACTCACCATCTCGTGTCTCTGGCCACTGCGAGGAGGTCATCAGATGGCGCAGTCGCAGCCAACGCGCACGGCACGACCGATTGTCAAAGCAGTGCCAGCCGCCCTCGAGGAACACAATCCACTTCTTTGAGTTGGGCTGTTTGCGCAGGTAGAAGCCCGCGTGGGTGCCATCGTTGCAGGTGATGCTCGTGTTGGTTAGCGAGGCGCGCTTCAGCGAGCGGCTGTGATCGCTGTGATCGCTGTGCTCGCCGGCAGCGCTGCCCGCGGCCGCTGCACCCGCCGGATGCATGACCATATAGTTGCGCTGTATCATGTTCAGCGAATTGCCTTGGCCATCCGCCTGCTCCGGCTCCAGTTCCAGTGGCGCTTTGGCCACGCCAAATGTCTGCATGTTATCGCTGTTGTTCTTGCCGCTGCTGCTGCTGCTGTTAATGCTGTTGCTGCAGGCATACGGCAGGACGCTGAGTGCAATCAGCGGCAACAACAGCGTCAGCTGGCAACGCAATTGCGTTGTCGTTGTCGTCGTCGTTGTCTGCAAGAGATCAAATCCAAAATTGAACTTCCAAGCACATTAAACGCCAGCCACATAGAGTCGAAGTTATGCTCACGCAATCACAACGAGGTTTGTCCTAGAACTTAAGCTCGCTCAGCCTACGCTTTCGATGATTCTTAACTTTCACACCCACATAAAACGCACTTCACATGGAGTAGCAATTGCTCTCACGCACTTCTCTAACTTAAGCTCGCTGTGCTTAGCTCAGATAAAGCAATTTTTATTTATTATTCAATCCATTATTGCTACGCCTCCAAACACATTCATTTAATGCTTGCCACATAGAGTATTAATCGCTCTCACACTCCCACATTTAGGTTTATCCTCAACTTAAGCTCGCTGTGCCCAGCTCAGCTAAAGCTTTCATTAATGCTCAATTGTCTTGTAAACAAACACTGACAATAGCTTTTACGCCAGCACGTAACGTGCTGTGCTGAGAGCGCGCTTTAAAGCTGCACTTGCTCACCACACTGTACTCCTCCCACCACCCACCGCTCTCTTTTTCTCTCTCTCTCGCTGACTTTGTGTGTCAACTCACAACTCATTCACAACTTTTTGTTATTGTCGTCGTAATAATTGCGTGCGCGCGCTCTCTCGCTCTCTCTCTCTCTCTTTCTCTCTCTGTCCTTCTCTACCTTGCTGTGGCTCTCTCAGTTTGCCATGCTGCGGCTGCCTGTTGCTCTTGTGGTTTTCTGCTGTTGTTGTTGCCTTTGTATTTTGGCGGAAAAATTGCTTTGATCAAAATGCGAGCAAGAAGCTTTGCGATAAGATCAAAGATATTTTTGCCGCGCATTTCGTTACGTTTTTGTTGTTATTGTTTTACGTTGTGCACTGTTTGTTGTTGTTTGCTCTTCGCATTAGCTACATGGCAGAGCAGAGAGTGCGCGGAAGAGTGAGAGCGGGTGGGTGGGGATCGGAGAGAGACAGTTACGTCTAGTATTTAGTCAAACATAGAGAACTATTCTGTTATTACATACACAAATCATTTATATTGTTCATACGCCTCGTGGGCTCCGGTTCACACACACAGACATACGGATTTCACATTGTCATGGTCGCTGACGCGTGGTAATCAGCGGCGTTGGCGTTGGCGTCGACGTCGACGGCGACTTCGACGTCTGTTTCTGTTTCTGTTTCAGTTTCGGCTTTTTGCTGTTGCTGTTGTTGTTGTTGTTGTTGTTGCTGTGCTTGGCTTTGAACTTAAGGTCGGTTGTGCACATCAATCAAATGAACAGCGGCGATTTGTGGCTCTTGTTGTTGTTGTTGTTTTGATTTTACGCTATTTTCCAGCAATTTGTAAATGATACAAAAACAACAAAATGCCAACAACAAAACGCGTGCCGCCAACAACAGAACAACAACAACGAGTCAAAGGCAACGATTTTAGTGTCTCAGTGTGTCAGTCTGTCAATTGTGTCCGCCTGTCTGCGCCGCTGTCTCTGCATAAATAACCATTCAGAAATCGTAAAGAAATCTTCAATCAATGTTTATTTTGGCTTTGAAGTTGTGCCGCTGCGCGCCGCAGTCGCTGCCTCTAGCAACGACAATTTGCAGACAAAATGCAAATGACACGGACAATTTGAGCGGAGGCCTACAAACGGCCAGAACAATTATGGGCACATACACACACACACACACACACACACACAGACACATCAGACTTGGCCAGTTGTTCAACAAGTTCGAACTTGACCAGCGACGGTGCGAGTAACGGTAACGCATTGAGTTGTAAGCTTTAAGCTGCAAGCCAAAGCTTTAAGTCGAGCATTTGACGCTTTAAGGTAGTCGACAAAGCTTTAAGTCGAATGCTTTAAGCTTTAAGCTGATCCCGCTGATCCTATACTCCTGTGCTCCTGCTGTTACCGTTACACACAAATTGGGCGACTTTTCCTCAATCAGTTTTCCGTTTTCAGTTTCGCTATCGCTGCCGTTTTGATTGCTGCCTGTCAAAGCGCGTCTGTTACGGGGCCTTCCCCCGCTGCCAACAAAACTCAAGAAACCAAAAAATGACGAAAAACAAAAAAAAAATACTCTCTGATGTTTGCCGCTTAACAAATTGACAAGAATTCTAGCGCTAGCAGCGAACTCTGCGAGAGCTGTTCAATTAGTTAGCAATTGTTTGAGAAGGTTGAATAATCGAATATAAATACATAACTAATTTAAACAGTTAAACTAATTTCTGGAAATTAACAATAGACTCTTGAGTGCGATGAATATATTTAGAATCATTCCTTTCCTTTTTTTTTATCTATTGGGAAATTAATTTATAATTTGTTTATTGACTTGTCAGCTGTTTGGCTTACTTCACAGGCGACCCTCGTTTATAGCAATGCTTGACGATTCGGCTTGGGGGCTGCGCCTACGATCTTCTAATGTTAACCACGACCCACAAAATAAAAATAAAAAAAAAAAGGTAACAAAATTACGTGTGTGCGCGGATTTACGCTTGAGTAAACAAAACGCGTGCCCACATTGACAAACACACGCACACACACACACACGCACACACACACTCGTAAGCAACTTACAGATACAAATGTAGGCACTGAGATAGAGATACTTAGTTTCGAGCGTACGTTGCACTTGTTGTTTACCTGTTAAGAGAAAAAACGGCAGCGCCGACAGCGACAACAACAACAAGAGTAGCGGCAGCTGCTCTGTCGCCGTCGCCGTCGTCGTCGCCGTCGTCGTCGCCGTCGTCGGCTCCGGCAAAGGAAAAACTGTTCACAAGCGCCGCTTAATTACCCTATATAGCGTCTTAAGTTGCGCTATTAATTGCGGGCACTGCTTATTAATATTTTGCTTTTGGCTTGTAGCGACTCTTTTCTGCTTTTTGTTGTTGTTGTTGTTGTTGTTGTCTTTCTTTCCAGTTGCTCGTATTCCGATTTCTTGCGGCCAACAACGCCGACAAAGGCGCCCATACCCGCCCCAACCCCTCTATCAGCCTATAGTCGGGCAGTTTGAGTTTAGGCGGCAGCTCTGTCTGGGGGCTGGCTGGCAGCCAACTACTTGTCGCGACGATTAAATTGTCAGTTTTTATTAATTGCTGCAAATAGTCAAGTGGCGCTGTCTCCCTCTCTCTTCCCCACCCTCCCTTCCTCTATCTCTCTCTCTCTCTCGCTTTTTGCCTACGCGTCGCTGCCTCAGCCGCTGTCGCTGTCGCTGCTACCAGTCATTGGCGCTGGCGCTAAGCGATTAGTTTCTCTTATTTATTCATTTTTTATTCAACATTAAGCATACGCCCCGTGCTGACTTGAATAAATTTGATTTGCTTGTGACTATTGCGACTCTCTGTGTTTGTGTGTGTGTGTGTTAATTGTAATGCAATTAGGCCTTTACAGGTTATTCTACTATTAAATGGCATATGCTAAGTGAATTAAACTATTTACAACTTGAAAATTTGTCAACTTTTTATGGCATATAATTATTTATAATCTTTGGCTTTTACATAAATAAATATGTGCCTATTAACTTACGACTCTTTTGATTTACATATATAAATATGTTTTTAAGAGATTTTTGAGTGTTGTAAAGCTAGAATCGAAGTGAGTTAATAGATATTCGATACAAAATTTACTTGTATTCATGTTTAATCAATATATTGTAGATTTATCCTCACTTTTTTGACTAATAATTTGATTAGTATATTTAAGTGTGTTTGGCTTTTGCTATGCTGCACAAGTTCTCCCTCGCCATTTACACTCGCACACACTCACACTCACACACACACACACGCGCACGTGTGAGCAGTAAAAAATGCAACATAATCAATAACGACCTTGTCAAATCAAAGGAGCCGAGCGTCGCGCGCACTCGGCCTGTAACTGCGCCGCCGATGGGCGAGGGGAAGGGAAGTGTAGTGTTGCGGTGCGGCATTTATTTTTATTTTTATTTATGATTTGCCTTTGCGGCTGCTTTTGCCCCTTATGCACCCTGCCCCCTCTACAACTTGCGCGCGCTGCATCAACTCATTAGCAAGAGCACTTGCTGCTACAGCAGCAACAACTAAACAATTCTCTCGCTCTCGCTCTCTCTTGCTCACACGCAGCCACGCACACTCGCTCCTTTATCTCTGTCACACGCGGCTTATCGCATACGCTTAAATAAATAGCGGGCCAGGCATAAATAAACTTCCGTTGCCGTTGTTTTTGGTTGTTGTTTATTGTTTGTCATATTGTTGTTGCCAGTTTGTTTGAGTTGCGTGCGTCGACGGCGACGTCGCTGCCAGCAAAAAAAAAGCAGAAGACAACAAGAAAAACGCGCGCAAAATGCAAAAACCAGTCGAAGCAGCCGTTGAATTTGAAGGGAAGCTGCGCAGGCATAGCTTATTATCAGCTGAGGGGTTGGTATTTCGTCGTCAGATCGTCAAATGGTTATCAGAAGCAGTTCAACCTATTCATAAATACATTTTGCTGCCAGCTTAATTTAGACACGTTTGAAAACTGTGAGGAAAGGTTGGAAATAAAGCAAAGGCTAGAGGAGAGGAAAAACTACTTAGAAATGTTTGTAAATTATAAGCAAGAGCTGGAGGAGATGGGTAAACTCTTTTGGGAAATTTATAACTATTAGATAAAGCTCTTTCAGGGTTAAACTAGATAATATTAAAATAATATGTAATACTATAGGTATCTTTAATAATATTAAATTAAGCTTTTGCTGAGGTAAACAAGACTTCTTGTTGATTTTATGAGTGGATAAGGATATCGAAAATAACACTTGCTACTATCCTTTCCGACTGGGTCATTTAGACTTAAACTCATCTACTGAAAACTGCATCATCTAGATTTATGACACATTTCTAGCTAAATAGAAAGTACCCTTTTCTCTAGCGATAAATCCCAAATGCAGCTCGCACCTGAACTGACCTCAATGTCTTTCTGGGCTTAGAATTTGCACCTTTAGCATAAGGCGGCTAGGCAACATAATTGCAACTGCGCGCCGCACCGTGATCAACAACTGCTCTGCCCTGCCCTGCCCTGCCCTGCCCTGCTTTGCTCTGCCTACAGCTGGCTGGCTGTCTACATGAAGCCTGTGGCCAAGTGCCTGATGCGGAGGCATTCATAAAATACACCTGTTTGCAGCAATTTAATACTTTTTATGGCATGGAAATAACGCAACGGCTGCCACTGCCTCTGCCGCTGCCTCTGCCGCTGCCTCAGTCGCTGACGCTGCTGTGGCAACTGCAATGCCACGCAGGTAATTCGGAAGCAGCCTCAAATGAAGCCGCAAGCAACGACAGCGGCAACAATAACAACAACAAAAGCCGTAGCCGCGGCCTAAAACATGTAGCCAAGTGCCAGGCAGCGTTATTAGACCGGCCCGGTGTGTGCGTGTGTGTGTGTGTGCTTGTATCTTTGTATCTGTGGGATGTGCGCACGTCTGCCGAGCGGCAACGCTGATCGCTTTTTACTCTGAGCGCGCTAAACCCGTGCCGTTTTCGGCTTTGTACTTTGCCGCCCCGATGGCCCGACGGCCCGATGGCCAATGCCGCTTTGCGGCATGTTGCAAAGCAGATCTCCAACCAGTTCGGGCCAGGCCTACGAATAACGTACGAACAACGTACGAGCGAGCGAGCGTCTACCCAAAGGCAGTCGTCGCACTCATTGATCTTAACTCTGAAAACAGTAGCCAACTACTCTATACGCTATATGGAGGCTATATATGTATATTGGGGACCGCGAGCTGAAAGCTGCGGCTCTTCTCGAGCTGGGGATGTGGTTGTTGTGGCTTCAAGCGAAGTGGAGCGCACGAAAGCGGCCTGCACTTTGTTGTTGTTTTTGTTGTTGCCGTTGTTGTTGTTGTTGTTGCTGATGAGGGTTTTTGGTTAGCTATACTTAAAAGGTGCTGCGTTCTGTCGGCCTTTTGGCTTTTGTTTTATTTTTGGTAACTTTTATTTTTGTTGTTTTTTGCTTTTTGCGCACGCAGGCAAATTTTTTAAGCTCATTTTTAATGCCCTTGCAAAGGATTTTCAAATTTATTTCGATTTCTGAGGTATATGCTAATGTCGTAAATAAAGCTGTAGAGGGTTTCCCTTGTTGTTGTTGTTGTTGTTGTTGCAGTTGTGGTTTTTGTCGGTCAACTCGATTGGGGCGGCTTAAGTCGGAAGCTATTAATTTTAATTGACGTGCTACTGTTTTTTCGTGTCTGATTTTTGTTGTTTTTGGCCTGTTTTTTTTTTCTCTCTCTCTTTTTCGAGCGGATACTTTTGATATTTGCGGCCCTCTTTCATAAGTTGCTGCTCTCGTTGTTGTTGCGGAGGCTACCGTATGGCTTAGCCAATAAATTCAGTGGTTAAACTCACCTGCTTGTCTGTGTTGTTGTTGTTGCTGCTGCTGCTGCTGCTGCTGCTGTTATTGTATTTAATCCATTTATTTGCGGCGACTGGCATATTTTGTAGCCGAACAACTGCCATGGCTCATATAGGATGATAATGATAAACGATTATGATTGTGGCCTTTAATTAGTTGCGGCAAATGCTTTGCTCAGTTAACAAGTTGTTCAGCACTGTTTAAGATCAATGCACATTTTGTAGCACTGCATGTTTATTGCTGCACATTCTGACAAAAATAAAATATTTAACAATATTTTGCAATTTATGCACTCGATAAGAGCCTTTCATTCGATACACATGTATTTCTGATTATTTTATTTATTTTTTTTTCAAACACTTTTAACGCCCGTTTCACGACTGCGTGAGCGAGTTGAGACTGGGAAGACACTTGATGGTACACGTCCGCACACGTCGAATGCTCGAAACGGAATGAAATTTTTACCTTGCCTTGTTGTCGCTCTTTGCCAGCGTCGCAGTCGGCGTCGCCGTTGCCGTTGGCGTCGCCGTCGTTACCGGCGGCAGTCAACGTTTGCGTCGCTGCCAACTGCGACTCACGTGTGCGCTCTCTTGCGCTATCGCATTCTCTTGCACGCTCGCGCGCTCTCTCGCTCACCCGACCGCCCGCGTGCTCGGCGTGGTCTTCGTTTTTGTTTAGAATACGCAAAATAATAACAAAACTAATAATAAACTGCAAGGCAATGCAATTTGAAAGAATTATGCGCGTCGCCCAACGCAGCGCTCTCTCGCTCGCTCGCCAGCTAGCGCAGCCAGCGTCGACGTCGGCGTGGGCAGCGACGCTGCCGTTGACGTCGGCTACTTGTTAATAATCGTCTTACGATTATGGCCGCTTTTATCAGCGCCTTTGATCTGCTTAATCGAAAGCCGAAATGGCTTCTGGTTTTCGTTTCGGTTTTGGTTTTTTTCTGTTTTTATTTTTTTTGTAGCTTTTTCGGATTTCAGTTTTTGGATTTTGATTCGCCATCTTTTTCGCGGGCCGAGTTCGTTGCCTAAGTCTTTTGTTTTATTGCCTTTTTTTTGTCGCACTTTAATGCATATTTAATGCTAATTTAGTGTAATTGCAATTTTGAATGCAGTTACGTTTTATGCTGCGCTCGGGATCGCGTCGCCTGCAGATCGCCACCAGCTCAAATAATTCGCTCATCGCACATATTTTCTTTTTATGTTTCTTAATGCGCCGCATTTTTGTGTTTTATGATCGCGCGGCATTTCTTGGAAATAGCCCGGCTCAGCATGGCCCTGGGACATATTGTGGAATATGTGGGACGGCGGCTTAAACACATAAAATCTCAATAAAGTAGTCAGACGAGCGACTTTATCTAATTGTAAATCTACAAAAATACGTTTAATTCCCATACGAAATTGCTGCCGAAATGCGGGAGAAATCATTTTTTTTTTTCGACAGGGACTTCGCGGCCCTTTGCCACGCATTTTCATTTCCATTTCTATACGAAATTCAATTAATGACCGATCATTAAAAACAAAAATATCTTTGGCTTTGATATAGCGCCGTTGCCGTTGCCGAAATCGAAATCGAAATATTTCAATCTTTTACGATCTTTCAACGCCGCATACTTGATTTTAACTGCTCATGGAATTGGTAGCCATAAAATTGTATTTTGCAAATGTTTTTTCTTCTTCTTAATTTTTGTTTTTTATCGCAGACAGAATTAATTTTATTTGCCAGCGTGGATCGTTTGTTTAATAGAGAGATTTGTAGGCCTAAGGAAAAAAAATAAAATAAAACAAAAAAAAAACTTGTCGGCAACTTGAAAGTGAGAATTGGAAAGGCGCTGCAATAATTTTGCATTAAGTACGAGTCCACGTACGCAATTATTATGCGGCGACATCTCTGGAGATTATTGGATGCTCGCATTGCTCATACGCACCGTGTGGCACTTGCTGCTGCTGCTGCTGCTGCATTGGGGGCAATTAAAACACCGGCGAACAGCACGCGATGAATGCCCATAAACATTTAACGCGCAATCAGCAGGGAGCCCGGCACTGAGCAGCGCAACAAGAAGGCAAGAGGGTGGAGCGGGGCATGGGCTGTAACTCGGCTGCAACAATTACAAGAGTCGCACACGACCTGCACACAATTTGAAAGCGGAGCATAATGATGTCTTCTGCTCGAGAGGATGATCATGATGAAGACGAGTGCTACTTTTGCTCAACAGAAACAACAACAACAGCAGCAGCAGCAGGAGAAACAGATGATCGTTGCCGTTGCGTTGCGTTGGCCCCTCGCTGATGCGGGACATGGACATTCATTTCGCTTAAGCGCACTAACCGGTCGGTGTCTTTGATCCTGGCATTCTATTGTTCCGTTTCAAAGGCCACTATTATGTAAACAATCGGCAGCTTTGATCTTGGCCGCATCAAAGTGTTGCCGCCACCTTTCATCTTTTGCCGCGCTGCCCAGCGACGCCAGCAGCAGCATCAGCAGCGGCAGCAGCAGCAGCAGCGGCAGCAGCTGATGATGATCATGAACATGCTGCTGCTCATGATGTGCTTCAAGAAGTATCCACTGCGTAGTTAAAGCTGCTGCTGCTGCCGCTGCTGCCACTGAGCCATATAATTTCGCATGCTAGGCCAGAACACCTGGAGCCGCGTAGTTGCTGCTGCCGCTGCCGCTGTTGCTGCCTCTTCTGCTGCCGCTGCTGCTGCTGCTGCTATCATCATAACTTTCGGCATAATCTTCAAAGTCGCAGTTGCCGCAGTCGCAGCGCTTGACATCAATCGTGGCACAAACTGAGCACAGTCAGATTTATCCCGCTCCGCTCCGCTCCTACCATCCTGCTCTGCCTGTTTCTATTTCGTCCGCGATCCCTTTCTCTAGCCTCTCAACAGATGTGCACAGGTCGCGCCCGATAAGCAATTAAAATTTCAGTTAATACGCACAACTTTATTAACGGATCACACTCAGATTCGGAGTTACGGTAACTGCCTTTGATCCTTTGCTGCTGCTTGCAACAGTTGCTGCCGCTGTTACTGTTGCTGTTGCAGCTGCCGATTTGCAAACTGCAACAATGTGTGGGAAAAGCAACAGGTGCTACACACAACGACCACAGACGTACCTACAGCAGTCAGCCATGCAGCCATGCAGCGCTTCAGCTCTAATTTAAACAGATTATCATCATAATTGCATTGCTCTCGACTACATTTTGAGCTGTTGGCACATGCAACTGAGAGTAGGAGCGTTTATTTAGAGGAGAGTCAGAGAGCATGAACCATCTGAGAATATTTCTTGATGTCGACAATTTATGAAAGATTAAAGTCAAAAGAGGGGTTGCATTTATGAATAGTTGGAGAAATAATTGAGAGAAAGGGCCAGTTTCAACATATCCACAAGCATTTAAATATATTTGGGTTTGAAATAGGCAGCACAGTTCAGAATAGAAGGGTTTCGAAAATAAATTTTGATAGAGTAAAAAGAGGATGCTTTTCCTACTAATTTGTATATCCAATTTGGAACTCCATATGTTAAGTGAGTTTTTTTTCTTAATGCATTATATTAATATTATTCTTTATAGGTTCCAAAAAACGCTGCATTCAAAAAAGAAATCCTAATATAAAATGAAGTACTTATATAAAGAACCATAAAGAGAGAGAGCAAATAATTAGGAAAAGGGCCACCAAGCATAAAATTTGGCAAAATTTGGACCCATTTTTTTATGATTAAAACTTATGAAAGAAAATTACCTCGAAAGGGTTAAGTATTATAACTAAAAATAGAAAATGTGGTAGCATGCTGGAGAAAAAACCATAAGCAAAATAAAAATCGATCAAATTTTGATAAACTTATGTAAGTTTGGCAAATCGATGCCAAAAAAAAGTCTAGCAGGGACTTGGGCAATTGCAAGCTTTTCTTTCCGTGCCAAAATGAGTTTTTACCTGGTCAAATAACGTGAAATAAGTAACGGCAAAAATGAGCAGAGTCTGGCCTGGGAACTGGGATTATTTGGAATTTGAGTGGATTTCGCTCTCCCTCTCGCACTCTTTGCCTGTTTGTCTCTCTTGCGAATGCTCTCCACGCTCCACGCTCGCTGCGGCTCACTTGGCGGCAAATTGCTGTTGCATGCCCGACGAACGACGACGACGACGTCGCTGGCGTCGGCAAAACAACAAAGCGGAATCTCTGCATTGGGCACACGCCATTCCCAACATCAAAGCGCGCCGACAGAGGCACAGATTTCTGAGGCTGCCGCCACCGTTGGGGCAACAACAACAACAGTCGCTGCTGCTGCTGCGGCTGCTGCTGCTGCTGCTCATTTGTGTTTTGAGGCGCATTGTGCGACGCGCGTGTTAAGTGGACTGTGAATATGAAAGGAAAGTTCGAAGAGAAAAAAAAAAACAACTTTTGCCGCCAAATAAATGCAGACGAGCAGACAAGGCAGCTCCTGCAGCCTTCTACTTACTGTCCAGTGTGTGTGTGTGTGTGTGTGTCAGCTCTCCTCCTGCGTCTCTGGTTCTTAATCAAGAAACGCATCGGCGGCGTATCACAGTAGCACTTTAAACGTAAATTGCTTTTAACATGGTTATTACAATCTTAACGTTTGTCTGGCCACGAAGCACTTCAGGCAGCAGCAACCTGTTGTTGTCGGTTGTTGTTGCTGCTGTTGCTGCTGCCTGTTGCTGCTGTTTGCAGTTGCCCCGACAGCAATAGAAGTCAATGTTGGCTGGCTGGCTCTGTAGGTTGCGTTTGTGCCCGTTAGGTTGGCCACAGTTGGCCAGTCGCCAGCCGCTTCGATCATCATCGGTCTTTGTCTTGGTCTCGGTCTTGGTCTGGGGCTGCGTTTCATTTGGTAGATTGTTGTAATTATGATTGCGCGATTATGATTGGATTAGTTGTCGGTAGCTTTTTGCTTTAAGTTTGCCTTAATCGAAATTGTTTTGTGGCGGAAATGAGCCGAATGCCAGTCCAGCTGCTAATTAGTTAACGCTCTAAACCAGCCAGGCCCAGGTTGGCCAGGCTGCAGAAGCAGATCAAAAGGGCAGGCCGCAGGATTAAGTCAGCGAGCCTTTTGTTGCCAACAGTTGCCGCTGTTGCCTGCTGCCGTTTGCCTGTTGAACGATAATCTTGCATTTAAATATTTCGCAGGAAAACACGCAAATCCGCTGACTTGTCACACCTTGTGGCCAGGTAAGTTCCCACAACAACTGCAACTGCAACTGAAACTGAAACTGCGGCAACAAGCGGCGGCCTTGTGTGTGTATATGTGTGTCTCAGGTGATCAAAGTGCGTGCCGCTGATTAAAAAGGGGGAATTTGTCGCCCTTTTGTTGCCCTGTAAACATATTATGCACAAATTGGGTATGTGCAACTAAGGAAAATGTGTTCGACAGACAGCTGAAGGCCCACTTCCAGTTTCGGCTAATAAGGTACTTAGTTATTATGAGAGTTAAAGATACTTATCTAGAGCA